ATATCATTTAATCAAAAGCTCGTTAGTCTGCGCACACAGTTTGCGCTTGAATTTTTAATGGCTTAATCAGCTTCGGTTGTTTTGGATTTTTTTTTGGTAGGGGAGGAAGCCACAAGGAAATTGCATCGGAAAGCGATACAAAAGAAGCACATCAACAGTTTTTCCTACACATGCACATTGTATATATATATAAACATATATATAAATATATATAAAATACGAGTACATACTCATGTATAGTATTTTTTATGGGCACACAGCACAAATTGATTTGCTATGTGAAGACGGATAATTGGTTTTCGAGCGGGGCAGAAATAGGAAAGCTTTCACGGCATTGCCGAGGCGCATCTCATCTATAAGTAAGTTTCATTAACAACTCAATTAGAGCGCCCTGTTGGCAACTAGCAAACAGCAACCAGTTTGGCATTTTCGTACATATGAAGTAATAAAACCCAAGATCTAAACTGGAAATAAACGTGAGACAGGCAATTAGACAAAAAAGAGTCGAACTCGACTTCAATTATTCTTCATTATATAAGACCACATTCCTAACACATTAAATTGTTCAATATTTAATTAACGGCAACTGCTTAGATATATTCAGATATAATGCAAAAATTGTGTATGAAATTTAAAAACTTTACTCAAAACCTGTTTATAAATATGCCAATGATGTTTCCCATTTATTTCAGATTTTAGAGCTTTAATTTAGATAAGTTCTAATTACACATAATTAAATTCATAAATTTAGTATTTTTAAATTGGACATATTATGTATTGAGTTAAATGAACAAATTAATAATATATTTAACCATCTAGTGCCCAAGGCCGCGTATTTCGTGCTTATTCGCTTCAAAATTGTTTTCCTAACTCGAAGTTTTTACCAAAAACATGGAAATTGATCGCAGTTAGAAGTGATTATTATATATATTATACATATTAGACAAAAAAGAGCTTAGACCATTTAAAGCTACTGTTGGGCACTATATGGTAAGTGATGAATTTACTACCCCAAAATGAACCTAGACTGACAGCACAATCGGTTCACAAATAATCTAACAGGCCATAAAAATCATGTAACATCAATCTAAGTCAAATCACAACTGTTATGGCAAATAAAACCAAACCATTATCGTTATGAGCAGATTGTGATTTAGATTTAGATTTAGATCTTGAGGTGAACGCATAATAAGATGATACATATAATCAAAGCAGTCCAAAAGAGATGTGGCGAAATTGAGTTAGCCTCTTCTTTGCAAGCATCTCGCAACAATTTAACTGTTCTTTGAGATGAGAAACAGTTCAAATAACAAGCTTAAGACGCAATTTACACATGAATGTGCGTGCAAATTGATCAGCTGCATCATTGGCAAGTTCTATACGAATTTTCACAGCTTTCTCTGCATGTCCACTTTATTTATTATCTTTTATGAACATGCTAAAAACTCTTGACGCAACATAATTGCCATCGATTCTATTTGTGTGTGTGACTTTTGTGTCTGGGACGAAGTCAGATACTAACATTTGGCTCATTGCGGGGCACGTAAAATGTATGACTAATCAATATGGGTCGCAAGAGAAAGAGAGAGAGCGAGAGAGTGAGTGAGAGAGTAAGAGAGGCAGACTCTCTGGGAGACGCAGCGCTTGGGCGAGTTTCTCAAGCTTCAAGACCCGCATATGGGAGCTTTAACGAATGGTATATTTGCATTTATATTGAATTTTATGTGTGTGCCAACGTGTGTGTTTGTATCGTAGTTATGTGTGCGATCGCACAAATGCCAAACAATGTGAGTCACGATAATCAGCGTTGAGCACACCGCAAACACGTCCAGCAATATACACAGTGCACATATAAATTGCGAGGGTGGAAAACCAAATATGCATACACCATATAATTTATAGACTTGTTATGCTAATCCAAAGGTAAGCTATGTTATTATCATATTATATACTGCATAGATAAAAATTATAGCATATTAATCCAAATGTAAACTACGTTGAATAATATTGTTATCACATACTGTTAATGAACTTTAATGTACGTTTAGCATATAGTTTCAGGATTAACTTTGAAAACAGTTTTAATATGAGAAAGTATCTATCAGAAAATGCATTTTATGAAGTTAGCTGCTTATAAAGTTAAGTCCAAAGCAACAAGAACTATCTAAGACGTGCAAAAATACCAGCCATTAGGTCGCCATAAAATACACACACCCACACAAGCCAAGGTGTAAGATTCTTAGCTTATAAAGAGAAGCTTAGTAAAAATGGACATTCAAGTTTTTTCAAATGTTTTCTGTATCATAAATGGCAGTAAACAGAATTTTCTATATTCGTGTATTTATATTATATCAGAAAGGGTGACCTGTTTGTCTACGTCTATCTTGATCTAAAAACTTCAAACTTATAATTCCTATAGTATTCAAAAACATGGATATATGCCAAGTTTCAATAAACTTCACGACTAAATTATAAAATGAAATTATAATCTACAAGGGTATAAAAATACAAACATATATTAACAATTGTTAGCCATACAATGAATACTTAAATCAGATCTTAGATCTTCTTGCACTCGAAGCGATATTTGACTTGGCTAACAATTATGGCTACCCTCGTGCATTGAAAGAGTTACAGAGTCATATGCGCAGTTAAAATAACAACGCTTTGAATATTGTACAGAGACTGACTGAAAACGAGTTTCGATTTGTTGAAATAAGCATTTATGATAAATTAAATACACAATGTACACAGGTAAATATAAAATTGTGTGTATGTGTATATATATATACAAGACATGAGTAGACGTTAACTAGGCAAGAGTTGTTGTAAATATTGCAAGATGTTGCAGTTGCTATTGCTGTTGATGTTGCAGCAACTGCAATCGAGCGTAATGCGCACACATGCAACGTGCCACAATAGCAACAGCAACAACACCTTCGAAATGGTGTCAGCAATAATTTATCACAAAATAAAAATAAAAAAAAAATGGAAAAAAAATTTTAAATGAAAAGAAGCATAAATAAACCAGGCAAAGCTGTTCAAACCGCATCTAAGTCTGAAGAGAACCCGAAACAACGTTGCCAGCAATTTGCATGAGCAGCCAAAGACAAAAGACAATGGGACAAAAAACATATACATATGTGAACGAGTGTATGTGTGAGATACGAGCTATCTGTGAGCTGATGGTGGCCCAGGGCATGTAAAGCGTGTCAGCAGAGTGCAGTGAAACTCGGTGAAATAATTGCTGTAAGCGCATAAATAAAATTACACATGTTGCGATTTTACAAGGGGGCACAGTAGGCAAAAGACACGCCTCCCCCATGCCACCAACCCCGCCCCCAATGGTTGCCCTACAACAGGTAAAAGGAACGTAAGCAGGGCAAGCCAGGCATGCAGGCAGGCAAGCAACAGTTATTTGTATCTGTTGGTAGCATCTTTTGTATCTGCCAGATAGCAGTGACCGCTTATCTTATCTCGCGCCCCTTTTTAAAATACACAGCAATTTATTGATTTTTCCTCAGTCCAACTGATAATGCAAGACAGGAAAAAAAGGGAGGGCCGAGAGTAGAAGTAAAAAGGGTCTGTCAATCAGCCACAACTAATTAACGAAAATGACGTTGACAATGAGCATCAACACAGCAGCCTTTCAATACTACACGCGTGTCCTTTTAACAGGAAGCAGAGCAATAACAAAGCACATGGGTTCAGGCTGAGCAGGGAGTAAATCCCTTATATTCCCGTTCACTACATTAATCCTGTCAGCAGCAATTTTTATGGCATTTGACAGCAATTTCCAGCGAACTAATCAATGAAATTGCAGGCAAAACTCAAACGAAAAGTATTCGGGATTTCAGGGTTTTTTTTTTGTTTTGTAAGCCACATGAGTAGTGTAAAGGTCACGTTGTCAACGTTTACATATTGAGAATCACATAGTGTGCACATAACTAATACTTCTTAGAATTTAGCATTAGGTCACGATCTCAACGCGAAATATTAAAAAAAAATAAAAAAATTGTTTAGTGTGGTATAGGATTTTCCATGAATTTGTCACGAAATGTGCAAAGATACGCTTAACTGAACAAAATTCCTGATCTTTTCTTATTATATCATGACAGAAATATGTCTGCAAATTTATTTAATCTTTGCCATCCCGCCGATAACTGTTCTGTATAGTAAACCAGTTTCTTTAGATAATATTTAATGCCGCCCTGTTTCCGTATATGCAGATTATTGTGAAACTTACGATTATTGTTTAATGAATCACAGAAGAGTCACAGAGAGAAATAAATGCGAATGACTAATTTCATTCAGAAGATTATATATTTCATTTACTTAAAATGTATCTCGTGGGGACCAAATAAATTTATTTTTTATGAAATAAAAGTAAATATAATAAAATGTATATTTTATAAGTCCACAATAGGCATATTAATTTTTTGATGACATGCCATTGGATAAAGGGAACTCCAAAATATACGTAAAACCCCATAAGTAATACTTTAAAATTCATTATAAATTGCAATGGATTTTGTTTCTGTAAATATAACTTTTCCATTACAAGTTTTACATGACCAATTTAGATTTCCAGACTTCAAATGATCGCATTTCACATTAGTCACTAAATGCTCTTTGAAAATCCCATTATTGTAAATAATTAAATTAATTGTTTACTTGTTTTTAAGGCAATGCTGATGGAGGACAAGAACAAAAAAAAATATTTTCTTTAGATAAATAAAGAATAATTCAAAATATATAAGATAACAAAACTTTCGGCATTAAAGTCTCTTTTCACCTAAAAATCAGCCGCTAATAAATTTTTTAGTGTGGAATTTTAAGATAAAAATCGATCTAAAATCACGTTTCCAACTTTAAAAATAGTATTTATTTGATGATGCCAGATGAATGCAGGGTAAACATTAAATTTCTTTACAGGAAAAAAAGAACCCCAATAAAAATGTTGTGTATAATCATAAATCAATTGGAATTGTTTGACTCACCGTTTGACGTTACGACAACGTTTCTCGTTCTCTCGTTCGGCCTCCTTGACGCTGTCCCAGCTGTCGCCGACGCCCGACGAGGACATGTCATCCAATCGCTCCTCATCCTCCATGCCCGAATCCTCCAGCGAGATGTGACAACTGGTCAGAGTCACCTGCTTGCCATTGTCTCCCACCTCGATCCAGTCAGAGGTTCTGATCCGCTGTGATCTCTCCGTGCCATAGGGCGATGAATCCGAGGAGCAGCCCGAGGGGCAACGTTTCCGAGGCGTTGAACTGCCGTTTAGATTATCATCTTTGTTGTTGTTGCTGTTATTGTTGCTGCTGTTGTTGTTGTTGCTGTTCTCTTTGAGGGACTTTTTGATGGCATAAGTTAGCGTATCCTCCTCATCGCCATCGGCATCCTCCACGTTATCGGCATCCACATCCTCCGTGTCGGCATCCTCAATAGAATTATAGCGTGGGCGTGGCATTGTCTTAATGGGCATGGCCAACGATTGTGATTTCGTGGGCAACTGTTCCAGTGAACAAGAACGATTGCGCATCGCTGCCAGCTCCGAGATGAGTAGCTCATGAAAAGCATGTTTCTTAACCGGCGTATTGCCAGCACTCAACGAGGTCTTCGGGGCAGATTGCGAAGTGGCGAGGGGATTGATGTTGATGCGGGTACAATTGCCTGCTGCCTGAATGGTAACCTGCTGTTCCTGCTGCTGTTTCTGTTGCTGCTCCCGCTCGCACCTCAGCCTTGCCCGCTCCCGTTCCCTCTCTCGCTCCCGTCCCCGTTCGAGTTCCTGCTCGAACAGCGCCTGATGTTGAATGGCACGCTCGTGCTTCGTTATAATGGTCGTATCCGTTGCAGATTGCTTCTGCGATTGACTGATGATGATCTCCGCGAACAGACGTTCGGCGGCATTCTTTAGATTATTCTTGAATTCGACTGTTTTGCCACCCAGATAACTGCCACCATGATTTGTGGAGGAGATGGGACTGTCCAGTGTGGTCTTGGAGCGACGAAAAATGCTATTCGCTGGCGTTGCGGGTGGCACCACAAATGTGGAGGGCATAAGCACTACCGACGCTGCCGCCGCCTCTTCATCATCATCATCATCCATATCGAGTGTGGCCACCGGCAATTGAACAATTTTACGTGGCTTGGGCAACGGTTGGGTGGTGGGCAATAGACCCGCCCGCTCAAAATCAACCTTGCCCAGGCTGAGGCGGGTATCCTTCAAGGCGGGCGTCGACTGTGCACTGAGAGAATTGGCGCGATTCACGCTGATCAGCACCGAGTCACGAGGTTTAGCTGTGGGCACAGCGGGCGCCTTGCGTAGCTTCAAAGGCGGCTTTGGCGCCGTTGCGGGCGCAACTGTTGCTGTTGTTGGTGTTGCTGCTGGAGCAGCAGCAACTGTTGCTGTTGTTGTTGCAGTTGCAACTAGCGCCATGGTGGGCGTTTGTGTTTGCGCCTGCTTCTTCTGATTGAGATTCAGCGAGGGCGACTTGTAGACAAGGGTGCGACCTACGGCGCTCAGTTGGCTAACAAATGTGGGCTTCTTTTGGATGATGGGCGGCGTGGCGGGTGCCGCAGCGGCAACTGTTGCTGCTGTTGCTGTTGCAGTTGCTGTTGCTGCTGCTGCTGCTGCTGCTGCTGCTGTTTTGGGCCTGGGCGGCACTGGCGGACCCGGCCGCTTAGCCGCAACTGTTGACTGCATTTTCCGTTGTTGTTGTTGGTTCTCACGAGTTGTTGTTGGTTGTTGCTTGTTGGTTGTAAAACCAGTATTTGTAGGTCACTTTTTTTGCGCGACTTCTCGTCTGCAACTTTAAGACTTGCACTGAAACTTTGTATTGCGTTTATTTATTATTATTATTTTAGCATGAAACTTGTTTTTTTTTTTGGTTGCGTTCTCAAGTTGCTGTTGTTGTTGTTGTTAGCATTTTGACAGCGCTGCTGCTGATCTGCGACTGAGGCTGATCTATTTTGAATATAGGCCACGATGGCGCACTAACGGGCCAAGTTGTTGCTGTATTTGGTTTGGCTTATTGGTTATTGGCTGATTGAAACTCGTTTGGCTCGTTTATTTGTTGCTGTTGTTGTTGGTTGTTGCACTTTGGATTCTCAGTGAGTTTTTTTTTAAGTGAAAGGGTTGCGGTTTTTAGTACAATATACTTTGGGTAGATGATGCCCTATGCGAACAGTTACTCATTGGTTTTCAGCACTTGTAAATTTTTTTGTTTTGTATATTTTTGCATCTTAATTTTTCAAATAACCTATAACATTTTTAGAGAGGAAACGTTTGATAATTAATTTTAATTTTAAAATATATTTACATATATTTTTTATGGCTTTTAAATGATGATATGATGACAACTGCTTTCTAAATATCAAGTTTCCACTGTAACACAGTAGTGGCTCGTAAATAAAAATTCACTTTTAGCACTACCCAAGAATAAACATATTTTTAAGACCCAATATTTAATGCATTTGACATCTTGAATAGAAAATTCACAATGTTGTAGGCAGTATTTTCAGTATCATTTAAAAAAAAAATCATGCAAAGATTATTATTATTATTAGTCATTACTTTTTAATTAACAATTAATTTTTATTCAATAATGGATTTAATATCTTTAATTGGCAATTCATAATTTCTATATATTCTTCGATATACAAAATTTAAAAAAAACGTTTCCGTTAACTTTTAATTAAGCTACTTAAGATTTAAAAAATATATTTTTTTTTTAATAACGCCTGAGCCAAAGCATTTTCTTTATCGAACGATCACTGTACTACATTGGATTTACTTTTAAAAAATGTGCTGTTAATTTGACTCTGATTAGGTGCCATGTTTGTGTGTTGTTGTTGTTGTTATTTTTGTTGTAATTGCTTTAGCTGCATTTTGAAAGTGTTTATACAATTTTTGTATTAATTTGTTTTTTGTGCATTTGCACGATTTTCGGGCCATATTGCGGGCGTCGAATGCAACGTCATAATTGAGTTGCATGTTAGAAAGCTCAATTAAGGCAAAAAGCACATAAAAACGATAAAAATAAGTAAGAAAATAAAAACCCAATTCCAGTCACAAATGTGCTCAGAATAAAGTGTACTTTAATGAAGCGTTTTGAGCCATAGCAAATTGGTTTGGCTTTAAGGAAAACTCTGCGATCATTAAAAAAACATTTCAATTGAGTTTTCAGGCATAGCTTTTCCCACTGTGTTACGCCGCAAACCGTTAAGAGAAAATGCATAACAAACAATTTAATATGGAAATTAAAAAAGGGGGAAATAAAATACAACGCTTTAGAATAAATCCCCAAAACAAAAAACCGGCTTTTATCGAATTCAATAGTCGCTTTAAACAGGTAGAAGCGTTTAAGAAAGAGAAAACAAAAAAGCGACAGTTTCAGCTGCTTCTTCTTTGAACAATTGACGATTAACATTTTTATCGAAATCTAATTAGAACCTTAAAGCTCCACAATTGGGGTCATCAAAAGATAATCGATCGGCGATAAACGAGCAATTTTATGGCCGATAAACAACAACGGTAAAACTGAATTAGCATCATATTTAGCATACACACACATACACACACGCACACACAAACACACAAACGGTTTGCACTTTGAGCTTTAGCTTGATTGAGTATTCCTTTAATTCAAATTGAATTTAGTTTAATTTAATTAAGTGCTAAGGCGCTGTAAGAATGTCACCCACTCACACTCACACACACACACACGCAGCGAATGCAGCACACACAGACACACACTCGCACAATTTGTGGCTATTTTTGACATAGAATTCTTTCATTTCATATTTTTCTTAAAAATATTCACATATATATATATATATAAATACATGTATATATGTATATATGTAAATGCATTAGTTACACTGCGTATTTGTGTTGCATTTGCATTTGTCAAGCAGCAGTAAAGACGAAAAACAGACCGAAACCGACACCGACACACACACACAACACATTAGCGACCGAGCGACCGTACGAGCCGTCCGTTTCGACGTTGCGCTTTGTACGAGAGCCAGAAATAAACTGAGAGCATTGTAAGAGCTAAGCGCACCTTGCTCAATCTCGGCGCATTATGTTTACGTAGTTGCGTTTGTGTGCGAGCGTCTGTATGTGTGTGTGCGAGCGTGCGTGTGGGTGTGCGCCTGTGTGCATGCCAATGATGTGCGCGTGACAAAAACAATCAAACACGACCCCAACTTCAGATGGCTGTAATACTTGGTGTGCCGCGTGGATTTATTTATTTTGTGTTTTGCTTTTGTATGAGAGAGTGTGCTCTCTTATTTAAGCTATGCCGCAAGCTTAACTTGACCCCGCATTCTATTCGTTTGTGTGAGACACAGCACGTTACTCACGATACACTCACGCGTGTGCTGCGTGCGCATCTCTACTGGCTGTCGCTCTGCAAAAACCGAAACAATTCTGCTCTCTTAACTTTTTGAGCTCGCTGTTAAGTCACGCTGTTAGCTAACATTATTGCTAGTTTTGGGTGCCAAATAATCTAATAAGAAATATAGAACAGTAAAAATGAACTCTAGAAATCGGAATAATATAATAAATATAGGGTATAATATTAAACTCGTAGATTTTAAACAAAACTCACCTACTCTCAATGATTCTGAACAGCCACTCTTTAATTGATGTTTAAGAGAAACTATGCAAACTGTTAGTCAACTCGATGCTCTTCTGTTGCTAAGAGCAACTTGGCACATGGCCAAAAGTGCATTGATTGGCATTTGCAACGGGTCTGAGGAGGCAGGTGTTGAAGTGACGAGGGCCAGCGCCGGCGTCTGGCTGCTGTGGTCTCGTCAGCCATTGCAACAGCTGTTGTTGCCGCATTGCCACCACCCAGTCCACTCCACTCCGACCTTTACACCCAATCCACCAACCCGCTCCCACCCCCAACTAAGTAAATCTTTATTGATTGCATGTTGCAACAGACGCTAAAAAGAACACAAACGCTAATCGTCTTTCGAGTGACTTTGCTGTCTGACTAAACAATTATTTAGCCGGTATATTCATTGGCCCAAACTTCAATTCTTGTCCCAAAACTCCTTGCGGCACTGCAGACAAAATTGCAACGAGGCGCCAAGCACCAAAGAAAGTCGGCCCAGATATATGCACACATATTAAGTATGTACAAATGCAAGTACAGTGGTCGCCCGGCAAGCACCACGATACGATTTCATTAAGGATTTATTCCTGTTTTGGAGTATAATCTTTAAAATTACCATTTATTATTTATATTACCTAATTTTCAAAGATCTATTTTCAGGGCTTCAAAATTACCCATTAGAAAAAGTTTAAGATCAAGATCAAATATAAATATTTATAAGATAAAATTATAATAATTATAACGCTTAACCCAATTTCTCAAAGTAGGTAATTTAAATATTAGGTAGTATTAACGGGTAAATAATATGCATTATTTTAAAATTATTCATTTTTATCTTTTAACAAAAACAAATGGAAAAAAAAAGAAAGAAAAGAAAATGTTTAAGAAACAAAAAAACTACCAAAAATATGTAAAAACCAAAATTAAAAATATAATAAAATTTTAGTTGTTTGAAGATACTCAAGATTTTATTAAATTTAATATGAAGTTCTAATAACAAGTAGTATTATTTGGTGATAAATGATTTTGAAAATTAAAATTAAATGATAGATTTTGAAAATTAATTAAATTGAAAAAATGCGATTAAAATATGCACAAATCTCGCGTTTCGAGCTTGCAACTTCCGAGTGACCACTGTATGTGGCATACAATGATAAATTATGTACATACTTTCATACATTACATTTATGTGATGTGGCGACATGAGCCGTAATACATACGGTCGTATAAATCTTCAACATTTTGGGGTTGCTGGGTTCGTTCGTTGGCGATGTCGTTGTCGCCACTTGAAATTACCGTATTTGTATTTGGTTTTGGTAGGCAACCCAGAAGCGGCCCAGAACCGCCCCAAAATGAGGCAAGAGACGCCGCCTAGCACTACTAGCCCGACCGGCTGCTTTGTCTGTCTGTGGCACGACGGGGATATCCCCACAGCCATCCACTTCAAATGATTTCCATGGCACTCAGGAAGTCGCCTCTTCCGGCCAAAAAAAAAACAACAACAACAAAAAACACAGTTCTAGGAGTTGGAGGGAACCTGAGGCCCGTTTTCATTTGCTCGACACTTTTTTTTGTTTTTGTGAATTTTTCTTTTTGTTTCGCTCATTTGGCGCAGCAAATATATGTATATATATATATATATATATATATATATATATGTATAAATTTCTGTGTCGACCATTGTATTCGGGTTGTCTGGAGTCTTTGTCGCAGTCGGGAATTGGCAAGGCACCAGCTGCAATTACAGATACCAACGAGAACATGCCCAACACAATTGACAAAATACCCATTTTTTAAATCACAAAGGATTATCCACATATATGTATGGATTTCTATATACATATACATACACACGCACACTTCTACTTGAATGCACTTCAGAACGCACCCTTTGGCTATTAGGAAGCCCCAACAATGAAGGTTAAACTTACGCTAAATAGCTGTCGTCACCAGGACCACACCCGGCAGCCATCCACTTCTAATCCTTCCCGCCTCGAGCAACGAAGCACTTCAACAGCAAAACCAGTAGCAGAAACAGCTTCTAACGGAGCAGCGTGCAAAATCAATAACAACTAGAAACCAAGTAAGAACCAACTTTCTTAGGCACGCCGACTTTTATATACCCTTGTAGAGCGGAATTAATCTGCTGAAGTTTCAATTTTTGTTAGGATTATGATTTAGCACATTTTATTTATTTATATTTTTCCACGTCTGTGTAGTTAGTCAGAAAAGTCGCACATCATAAAAGTGTTCTTTCGACTGATTGTGCTAGTGATGCTGATGCTGAATATTTATATATTCTTTATGGGGCCGGTTGTAAAAAGCCTGTTTAAGTTTATAAAAATTAGTTCATTTTGGCTTGCCAAAAATAAACTCCTTGCCATTGAAGTTTTATGACATAATAATCTGTTGTTGATAAATATAGCATACTGAACTTTGCTTAAGATATTTTTAACAACAAAATCAGTTAATTCAGCAAAAAGATGCTTTCAAGTGAAGTTTCAAATTTAAATTGAAGAGAAAAAAATTAAGTTCGCACAGTTATACTGACCAGCTAAAAATGCATCCATCGACCTCAGTTACCTCCATCGACCTCATTGCTAAATAACTCATGCTTGCCACACATATAAAAATAAAATTACAATACCCCCCACAAAGAGTATAAAAAAATCCAAACTTTTTTAAGTGCACATTAGCGTACCCCAGAGGGTCGCAAATTTTTTTGTTTTTGTTTTTTTTTTTGTTACTTTACACAAAATATCATATAGTATATTAAATAATTACCACAAGCTAATTATCATTATTAGTCATATACGTGTGAGAATGTGTGTATGTATGTGTGTGTGTGTGTTGTTTTTATTTTTATTTTAAAGTAATTGCATAATATGTAAGAATAAAAAAATATACACTTGGATTCTTTTTCTGAAATATAACAAGCAATAAAATATATCAACTAGTATACACACGCACATCACACTCGCACGCACACACGCACATCACACACACACACACACACACATGCCACAGTCCACACACAGAATTGGCATTAGAAAATAATTAACATTAGAAAAAACATGCTTCTTTTTTAGTTTTTTTTTTTTTGCATACGTTTTTACACACATACTGCTCGGATATCCGTTAACAACAACTCACATAATCATAGTTTATATATATATATATATATATATATATAGTGTAAGACATTATGATCTTAAGTAGCGTATAGATTAAATACATAAATAAGCGTTAATGCTATTAATTAATCCGTACAAAATACATACATGTCACAATACAGTACAATACAAAAGAAACACACAAAACTAAAATAAAAGTTTTCAACACAATTTGACTGTTTGCATTTTCCATTTCCAATTCCCCAATTCCCCAATTCCCCCCAACCCTCACCCCCACAACCCACACCCACATTCGCATTGAATGAATCGCCCAATCGGCTAATTGACATATCGGCGCCTCGTCTAATCCGCAATGGCCGTGTACGGCAAACTGCTGTGCTTGGGCTTCGTTTTATTGATGAACACCTTGATGGCGCCATTGAAATCGGCACTGACCAGCACATAGCCACATCCCTTCTTATGCTGCTCCGCCAACGGATCCGGCTGTACAAAAAGTGGGGAAATAGGGAAAAACAAAGAGAACAGTTATTAGCAATTACAATAGCAAATATCAACAGAGGACCACCTCTGTTTGTTTGCATAGAGCGAATCATTGTTAAGTCAATAGAGGAGCACCTCTATTTGTAAGTATATAAAAAATAATTAATAAAAACAGTTCAGCTTTGTTGCTCAGCAAAAAACTTGTCAATTTCGCTTGTGATTCGTTTGGAGTATGACTAAAGCCCGCACTTATTACTCTGATATATATATTTCCGGTTTATTTTTAAATTAAAATATGAAGAAAACCTGATTGCTTTATATGAATAACGTTTAATATTTTGTTCACAAAAATTGAAATGAGAAAATAGAAACAAAGAAAACAAAGAAACAAAAAAAATGACAAAGATTTGTAATTTCTTTCGATTCATTTTATGTGCTAAAATAATATGAGTTGAACTGATAAGTTGATGACATTCCAATAATTATAATAATAATAAAAACCAATTGTAAGAAGATGAATTCCTATAATTGTAACAAGAATGAATCCGCAGGCCTAAGTGAATCAACAAAATCGACAGATAAATGATATAGTTGTCCCATGCTGATAAATATTTTAGCACAGTTTAAAAGCTATAGCCCTGAATAAGTATGATTATATAGAAACCCATAACTCAGGGCAGCATGATCTGAATCATTTTTTGTTTAAATAAATACGCATATTAAGTAAATTTGATTTAAATATCTTGTTGAACAAAAATATTTTCCAATAGAACACTCATATTTCGATTGATCATTCCTATAACAGCTATGTGATATAATGATCTGATCCGACCGTCGCTGACATATGTACTGTATGCAGCAAACTGAAAAATTTACGCCCAGTTTCATCAAGATAATGAATTACAGAAACAGACGGACAGAGAAACATTGCTATATCGCCTCGGCTAGTGATGCTGATCAAGAATATATATACTTTATGACACCTTATGACTTGAAGACACCTCTTTCAATTTTATACCCTTATTTACAAGAGCAACGAGATTAGTTTAGTTTGACAGTGGTTACTCGTCGCATGCTCACCTTATCATTTGGAATTTCGTCCGGTTCCGGTTTGATGATGGCCTCTGGATGTGGCGCAAATATGGCACAGGTGACAGTGGCATTATGTGCTTTAATACCCTCCCAAAAATCACTACGATCTCGACGCACCTAAAATAGGAATCAAAATAAACAACTTATTCAAACAATAACTAAAGCAAGTAAATCCTTCTTCACTCACCGAGCTCAGCTTGGAGTAGTCGTGATTCGTTTTCCATATGTAGATGCATTGGTTCTCGGAACCGGCAATAATGTACTTGCCATCGTGGCTGAAGGAGCCCTTGATCTGCGAGGAGACATTGAGGTAGCCCTTGTATTTGCAGGACAAGTTCAGGTCGCGCAGATCGTACAGGCGGACACGACTGTCATTGGAGGTAACCAGAATTTTATCCTCACCGGGCATCGGTTCAATGCCGCTAATTTTGCGACCAATGCGATTCTTGCCACGCGTGGAGCGCACATGAATTTGCGTGTGATACTTCAGCTGGTCCGTGTTGTAGAATATGCAGCGTCCATCGTAGCTGCCAACCACAGCGAATTGGCCATTCTGACAGAAATTCGCCGCCGTGATGAGCTTCGTCTGGCCATCGACCTCGTTCCACAGCGCCACCTTCTTGTCGGGTATGTTCCACAGCCGGAGTTTGCCATCAAGACTGCCACTGAGGAAGTAGCGATCGTCTCGCGGATGAAACGCAATGGCAGTGACAAAATCAATGTGCTGGAAACAGCAGAGGCACTCTTTCCGCGAGATGTGCCACAGACGCACCGTTTTGTCCATGCTGCTCGACAGGATGAAATAGTTCTTCGACCAGCTGACATCCAACAAATCCGACGTGTGTCCATTGTACATACAGAAGGGCTTCGGCATAAATGGGCCCGTGCACTTCTCCGCTGCGGTGGCCATCGCAATTGCTTCCTCGGCGGAATGCTGCGACACTAGCGACTCTTGCGATGGCGTCGGCGATGATTTCTGATCCGCATTGTATTTGTTGCGCATATCCTGCAATGTGGCATTGATCAGTTAGCATTAAGCAGCATAAAATAAATAACTTTAAGCTTACCTGAAAATAGGGATAGGCATCCTTAAGCACCCAAATGCGGAGCACTTTATCCTGTCCGGCAGTGGCCAGCAGTCGTCCACATGAGCTGAACTTCATGCACCACACGGCGCTGGTATCCTCGCCAATCAGATCCTGCACATGCTGCAGCTTGGTAAACTCATAGGGGCCCTTGTTCGAGGAGGATGCCTTGATTTTAATATTCTGCTCGGGATTCATGGCGTCCACGATGTCGGCGACATCCTCCTTGTGTCGCGCATGCGACACCTCCGATGCAATCGACTTGGCCTTATCCACCGTTTTGCGCATCGTGCTGCCAAAGAAGCGTTTAATCCGAGCCGTTTTCTTTTTGAGGCGACTGCCATCCTCTGTTTCGAGCTCCTCCTCGTCGGGCTGCTGGCCCTCACTGCTGGGCGGTATGCCAATTACGCTCTCCTCATCCGATTCCTTCTGTATGACCTCCAGATGCGAGGTCAGCTTCAGTATATGCAGCGAGAGCGGATTCCAGCCCTCAGGCACTGGCGGTGAACGCACCTCGGATAGCGGCATATTCTCACCAGTATCCAAATTCTTTACAGGAACTTGTTCGAGTATCTCAAAGTCAGTCAACTGTTTCCCCGAATTCGTGCGTGTGCGCACGTAAATATTCATCTGCCGCAAAACATCTTCATCCCCAGCGGACTTGCGACGTTCCTTATCACTTACGCGATACAAAGCCGTATAGCTGTGAAAAGGATAACCGAAATTAGTTTTAAACACAAAACGTAGTTAAAGTTGAAGTTGCCTAAATCAAAGTTAGCAATAAGTCTAGCAATAATTAATTACTATTATAGAAAGATTTAGGTATTGTTGTGAATTATTCAACTAACTTGTGGCACATTCTCCAAGTCTTGTACATAATATACAGATCAGACGCACTGCTGCAAATATACCTCGGAAAAAGTTAATTTAATGTTATTTAACTAAGACTCATTTTCAAGACCCTGAAAAAGTATTTGATCTAATACTATCATGCCTTAAATAAGAGAACTTTAATTGCTTTATGATTTAATAATCAAAATCCGACACTTTTAATTCTAATTCATAAGTAGAAATTATATAAGCATTAAATTCAATATTGATTGATGATCAATACTTTTTAAAGTTACTGAAGACACTTCCGATATATTAAGATACAGAATTTTTCTATAGACCTAAATTATAACTGCAGACATCTATTCCAAGTTTCTAAATGATTTTCCCTTTTAACAACTACTGTTTTCTGATATTTGCCGTTTTTACACAACAACAAATAACTCAAGTATCCCATTTCACACCCTTCAAATCCCTGTCTAATCCTCGCACATTCCCATTGGTTTATATCTGCTAACATACCGTGTGGCACTGCCCAAGCTATTGGAACCGCTGCCCGCCAGCTTGGGTCGACTAGCGCTCTCCATGAGCATTTTCTCGATGCGCTCGATTTCGTCCTGCGATGGGCCTTGAGCCTTGTTGCTAGCCTCGTCGCGCGGTTTAACGACATAGCCGCCCTGAATGGCCTTGAACAGATTGAGGCCCTGATTGGGATCAATGGAACTGCAAAACAGATGGTAATGAATAATTACAAATTATAGCAAAATAGCTTCAACAGCTCACCTGACCCGACCCGGCGCCGAATTGCTCTTGGCCGAGTTCGAGGGACTTGGCTTCGAGTAGACCGATGTGGAGCTGTTCCCCAGCGAATGCGATGGCTTTAGCACAATGCCCGCCGCGGACACAGGACGCACAAAGCACGCCTGACTCGTTGACGCCATTTGAATCAGTGATGAGGGCGTCGTTGTCGCCGTCGATGCCGAAGCGGACACAATTGTGCTGGTTGAGGAACAGGTCAGTGTATTGCTCGACGCCTTGGCGCTGACATCGTTCAGCGAATTCTCGAACTGCTTGACAATGTCGTCGCGCAACTGCTGCTGCACATCGCGCACACTCTGCACCGATCTCGTATCGCTGTCTGTGTCCTCCGTATCGCCACCAGCCGGCACTTGCATGCCCTCATTCATGTTGAACTGCTCCGACGAGCTGCTCGAGAATTTGCGTGATTTCTTTTTGCGACGCGGCGGCGCCACCGGTCCGCTGGATGTTATCGAGTCCGTGGTCTTTGAGTGCGCCAGCTTTGTGCTGGCTATCACATCCGGCTCCTGTAGGATTTGTGTGCTGCTCAATGCAGCAGCTACCGCAGTTGTGGCCACGATATGCGCCGACTGCTTGCCTCCTGCCGTTGCTGCGGCTGCTGCTGCAGCAACTGTTGTGGCAGCCGTTGCTGTTGTTGAGGGCAGCGGCGGCGGCGTCTGGCGTTGCTGTTGCAACTGTTGCTGTTGGACGTTCATTGAGGCCAGCGATTCACGATCAACACTGATCGCTGAGTGTGAAAACAAACGAATGGCATGTGAATATATAATTTGTGTTGAAAATTGACAGACATAAAACGACACACCAAGATTTACAGATTTACATGTAAGTCAACTCACCAGACGGATCGATGCTGCCGGCCAAGATGCGACCCACGCGTCCCAATGATGTCATGCTCTGTATGCTCATCGTATCGCTTTCGACCACCTTAAACGGATGCGTTGTCCGATTGGTAAATACGCCATCCATGGAGCTGTTCTGTAGTTGTATGCAAACAAGTTGTTAATTAGCCAACTAATTGAAGCCAAGGCCGGCAACGAACGGCACACACAAAATATAGCAATACAAAATTAATAAATAACTAAAAACACGCACTACACAAAATAGTTTAAGCTGGCATTTACATTATACGTTATACATTAGAAGCTACTTAATAATAACTAGTAGTATTCTACGATTGGAAATTGAAAATAGATTTGTAGTACCTGAGAATCAGGTGTGAGTGTATTTCCTGGATTATCATCTTCATCTTTTTTCATGCAATCACGCAGATCTTGAAAGCGTTGTCTACCAGACTATATGTGTACGATATACATACGTATATATATATATATATATATTATTTTTTATTTACACAGATGAGTTGAGTGTTTTGAAGTTTCGACCATATTCCATGTAAATTTTATAATTAATTTAATTTTTTATTATATTTTTTATATGTATTTATTTAAGTAATTTTTTATTTTTTTTTTTGTCGTTGAAGTGAGCACAAAATATGAAAATAAAGAGCAAACAGGTTGACAAGAAATTAACAAATATTACGACAAAAAAATAAACAAAATATAAGTAAAAGTCCCAAACAAACAAGAAAGATGAGCTCAATTCAGCTGCCCGAAGATTCAATACACTTGCAGAGAAGGCAAAAATGTCAAATATTTAAATACATATTGAAATGGCAACTATCAACCTATCTGCTGGTATTGATTAAAGTCTTAAAATTCTAACTGACTTCCGTAAAACGCTAAACGATTTGTAGGAAAATTGTAAGATTGTAAGTGTAAACAGATACATCATTAATTGAGAAGCTCAATTAGTGAAAGGGAATCAGAATCTTTTGCCAAGCACGGAAGCAAACTGGGCCATAAATTACTATATATTTATTATGTATATTTGTTATCAAACATTTGCAGAGCACTCAACGCTGTCACAGATAAGGCTAAGACAAGTCAATTTCACCTTCCGATGAATGAAAATGTTTCCAGGTCGGCTTAATAGATCAACTAGTACAAAAACCTTGACCGAAAACAATTATCAGAAATATGTACATATAGTAAATGTATGCACAATGAGCTGATAATAAAAAAAGCACAAAGCAACAACAATCATTATCAGCAATTATTGTGGCGACAACAGCAAACCTTTTATTAGCATTACGATAATGGTTTATACACAACAAAAATAAAATGCGTAACGCAAGCCAATTAATTATAATAATTATGCAAGTGGCGAACAATTGACAGGGCAGACATTAAATTAATCAACATGTTGCCAAGCAAACAATCCTAATGCAAAGAATTTAGACAAAGTGAAGAAAAAAAGCAACAAGTGGAACCAAAAATGTTTGGTGAAATCAACAAAATGCCTGAAATGAATGATTTAGTTCAGATTTAAAAGAGGTGCAAAACAACAATTGCACATATCTAAAATAAATACATATTTTGCCAAACTAATTGTGCTGCTCTACTGATTTTTTTTAGTTTTACATCAAATAATACGTCAAGAGTTAAATTACAAAATTTCTAATTTAGACAATTTTGTTAGAATTAATACAAAACAAATGGTTTCAACTTAAAGATTTTTAACAATTCTAATAACTGACGAGAGAAACAATGTTATACAAATAATAATAAACTATCGAGCAGCCCTCGGTTTGCACAAATTTGTGACTGACCACTGACCACCGACTGATGACAATCAGCGGCACTCACACAACGAGGTGCCTCAGCGGAAGGGGTTAACATAAATTATAAAAACAAATAAAACAAACGCTGCGCGCTTGGGTAATAGTGAAAACCGTATGAGCAATCCAACCAAATGTATGATTGTCAGGGAATTTAATTTGCTTAACATTTTGTTTTTGGTGTAAGCGCAGTGAAATCGGCACATTAAAATTTTTGCATTGATTTTTACACTGAGCAGAATAAAAAGGGAAAACGCAAACGTGCTTTGAATTCCTATGAAGAATAAAGGTTGAAGGGGGTTTGTGGTTAACAATAGGGACATCATTTTTCAATAAGAAACAAGGCTTGTACAGCAGACACTCGATAATTGAGCAAACAGTTGTAAAAATTATCTAATCTAAGCCTAATCAAACAATAATTAGTCAATAGGGTGCGGCATTATTTGTTGAGAATTATTTAGGAGAACTTTGGATATATACACATATAACAATACATAACTGAAAATCTAGCTGGGTTTTAGGTAAGCGTTTCTCAATTGTTAACATTTAACAATTATGACAAACAAATAATCAAGGCAAAAACATACGCATAAGAATTACAAATTTCTATTTTTTGAATACCAAAACCTTGCACAATTATCGAGTGTTTACTGTGAGTATCTCAAGAATGCATGCAGCCAAAAAACTCAATCAAAAAATTGAACGCAACGCAATCAACACATAAAACACACACAAACATATCAAACGCAGCTACTCCAGAAAAACCACCCATTTTACGTCACTCCACTCGACTCGTCTCCACATCGACACACCCACTTGCCACACTCACCACGCCCTTGCTGCCCGCCTTTGGCTCCACAAAGATGGCTGCATCCTGTTGCTTGAGACGTGCACCGAGACTATTTGTGGGACTGCGGGTGGCAGGCGTGCCTGCCCCAATGGGCGTTGCATCGCTGTCGGAGGAGACGTTGGCATTCACACGCACCGCTGGCTCTGGAAAGATGAACTCCTGCGCGCATTCCGGTGGCAATTTGCGGCTGCAATTTTGAATAAATAAACATGCGTGTCATTAGAGTGAGTCACTATTGTAGTGGGGTGATGGGGGGGTCTCTACTACACCCTACCAAAGCGTTGAGGCGCGATTCGGTGTTGTGTCTTCGGCATCGAAAAATTCCTCTGAACTGTCCGAGTCCGTTTCCAGTTTACTCATTTTTGTTGTTTGTTGTGCGTGAATTACCTAATCCGCTTTCTGTTTCTATTTCTATTGAAATATGCAAATTGACCAAATTATGTTTTCTTTTTTTTTTTGTGTGTGTTGGGTTGTTTTTGTATTGTTGCTGCAGGGCTGGTTTTTATTGTTGTTGTGGCTGCTGCTGCAAAGTTTACTCTTTGTTGTGGTTGTTATGCGTCATCGTTTGGTGTTGCAGGCGCGCAACTATATGCTTATTTAACATTTTGTACACATTGTTGGTTGAAAATGTATTACTGTAGATTTAATAATTATTAATTTTGTTTTACGCCCGAGAAAAGGTCTGCTCTGTTGCATTGACTATTTTGCAGTGCTGCAAAGCACACGACGGGCCAATGTGTTGGTCAGCGTTGCCAGCAGTTTTAAGCGAATGCGAGTGGCAGCTCTGTCGATAATTATTGCTTGTGAATGGCAAACAGAAAGAAGAAGAACTCGATACATTCCCGCCAAAATACCTTTAAGCAGAAAGTTGTTTATTAAAATTATTATTTACGCGCACTGTCTAAATGGACACTGAACTCAAACAACAATTCGATGAAATGGGCGTGGAGCCCAGCGTTGCCGTGTTGGACAAATGTGTGGAATTGTCGCTGTCCTACAGCATTCACGACGCCACCGAATTTGTGGAGCAATGGATGGCTTTCAGTTTGTCCCATCTGCATGGGGATGATCCCACGCCCGAGAATCTGGGTGAATTCGAGCGCAAGGTGTTGCAAGTGAGGCGTGAGAAAGGCGGCGCTAAGAAGTCAACGCAACAACACAACATCAAATCACAAACTGCCGCAATGGAGACGAGTTCCTTGGCATCATACGGTCTGCTGGAAGATGAACCCATGATGGATGACTACGTCAGTGAATCCGCTGCGACGCAGCCTCACACACCCAAGGCGCACAATCAACACCCACGTTCCTCTGCCCTGAAGAGTGGCGTCCTCTTCAGCCCCGCCAGCTACACACATCAATCGGCCAAGAGGACTCCAGCCACACCAATAGCAACTTCGATGGGAAAACCTGGTGATATTGTAGATACATTTGGTCACCCACGGCTATTGGCTGCGTGCACGTGGCACTCTCAGCTGGAGCAATCCTTGCCTGTCGTTCAGAAACTACTCCACAATGATGCACCTTTAACCATGTCCAATCTGAGATATATGAACGATTTGCTCTATGAGAGATGCGATGATTTGCACGATCGTCTCGTGGATATTGGCCAGGCGCTGGTCGATAAGAAACTGGGCGCCAAGGGAGCTGCGGAGTGCAGCTGGTATCCACAGGACCGACACACGCTGGACGCGCTGCATGTACTCCATGCCGTGGGCATGATACACTCCGATGACGATGGCCCACTGGATGCCCACTCAGCGCTGCTGGCCGTACTCAATACGGATGAGAAGTTTCTGTCGTTGAATTTCTCACAAATCAAGTCCGCCAGCATTTTTCCGGGACAAGTTGTGCTGGCCAAGGGATTCATTCCACGGGGCGATACCTTTGTCGTCGAGGAGATTTACACGGATCGCAAATTGACATTGCCACCGCCACTCAAATTGGATCGAGATGTGCAGTTTGTTGTCGCCGCCGGACCGTATACCCACATCACAGATCTCTTCTACGATCCGCTGCATGATCTGCTAAAATACCTCAAGGAACATCGACCCGATGTGCTGCTCCTAACCGGTCCCTTTGTGGATGCCGAACACAAGCTTGTCGGCGAGTTGGCCGAGACTTTTGATTCCTTCTTCGAGAAAATGGTGACGGGCATCATGGAGGTGGTGGGCAGCAGCACCACGGTGCTAATGGTTAGCTGTCAAAAGGACGCGATGACTCCAGCTGTTTATCCCACGCCATCGCTGCCGCTGCGCAAAACATATCCCAATTTGCATATGCTGCCCGATCCGTCGCTTGTGGATTTGGATGGGTTGACGCTGGGCGTCAGTTCAACGGATGTGCTGGACCATCTGCTGAGCTACGAGTTTGCCACCAATGCGGGCGAGCGAATGCATCGCGCCATCAATCATCTGTTCAATCAGGGCTCCTTCTACCCGTTGTGCCCGCCAGCAGATGAGAACATGTCCTACGACTCCCAGTTGGCCCAGAAATATGCGCAGCTCAAACAGCTGCCCAATATCCTCATTCTGCCCAGCGATCAGCGGCATTTTATACGCCTGGTCAACGATTGTCTGGTCATCAATCCGGGTCGACTGTCAGACAACAAAGGCGGCACCTTTGCCCGTTTCCTGGTCACGCCCACTGCACCCACTGCGACTGCAGCGAAGGCAAATATGTTTAGCAGCGTCGCCTGTCAGATACAACGCATTTAATTACAATAAACTAAACTTAAAAGAAATTATTGCTTATATCTATTATTGATCTAAGTTTTGAAGCATCTTGAAACTTGGCTTCGGATCTGTTTTTTTCTTGCAGGGATTAGTCAGATAAAAATGTATATATTACGAGCTTAATATGATATTTCTAAAATCTATTCTAAAGAGCTTATCAACTGGCAAATATGGTTAACTATATATAATTCATTTATATAAATGATCGGTCCAAAATTTGAGTTTTTTTAAAGCTATAATAATATTCCCAATATCTGATCAAGACTTTATAAGCAGCGTTATATAAATAAACTTTATCTGTTGACAAGCTTTTGATCAGTTGTTGGGAACATTATTAATACTTCGAAAAACTTAAAAACTTAATTTTCGATCTATCTATTTTATTGAAGTGTAAAACGACCTTTATGTTAACTATATAAATTATGTAAGAAATTACAACTGGTTAACATTATTGGCGTGAAATATATATATAATATAATAATGTACTGCTTCAATAGAAGTGATCGATGTTTAAAATATGTTAGCCAATGCAAACTTTATTTTATATTCAGTTCAATTTATATGGCTAATATATATATATATCTTTTATATACATAATACAAACATGACCATTTAACGAAAGTATTTCGTACTTGTTTTTAAAGCGTTTATTCATTTAGGTTTTTGTCGTTTACAGCTAACAGTAGGAAATGATTTCTAAACGTATTACATATAATTGTATTGTACTCCCTATACTCTACAAATCATGTGTGTAGATGTGTGTGTATGTGTGTGTTTGTGTGTGTAATCATTCCACAATAAATCGAACTCAATTCGAAATTTAGCAAATGATGTTGCCATAAAACTAAAAACTTTATATATTGTATATTTTAACTATACAAAAAATACTGCATGAAATCGTTTACAATATGATCTAAGCAAAACTGACCGATCTTCTCAGGTTGCCATTTTGCCGATATATAATTCCTGTTCTTTTTTGTTTTTGTTTTTTTTTCTTTTCGTTTAAGTAACTGCGCGCAACATTTTCTTTTATTTTTGTTTTGCTGTTGTTTTTAAGTATTTTCCGCCAACTTGCCATGGTACTCAGTTTCGTGGAGCTGCCAATTACGACCACATTTTTGGGCGGTCGTCCAACAACTCCGCCGGCTGCACTTCATTTTGCACACTTGACGCCCGATCGCGGCCTGCGTTTAGTTGTTGGGCTCCTGCTTGTATTGTTATTGCCGATTGTTGACGCCCTCGGGATTGTGTAGGCCGCCCGGTCCGCCGCCCATGCTGTGCTCCATATTCTTGATGACCACATAGTTGGTCATGTGATTGATGGCCTCGTCCTGTAGCCGTTCGGGCCAGCGTTTCATATAGGAACGCAGAAACTCACTGAACGTGTCCACTTTGTCGGGCGTCGTTTTATGCGTGTCGACAATGTTCTTCACAATGTCCACAAATTTATCATAATCTTCGTGGGATTTTTTCATCTTATTATAATTGGGCACACCGCCATTGGTGTTATTGCCGCCAGGGCCGGCACCACTGGCGCCTGCCGCATTCTGCATTTGCTGCTCCATGTTGCTGTCGGCAAGGCGTGCGGAAGCCGCAGCCGCCACAGCTGCCACTGCCGCCGATGATGCCATAAAATTGTCCACATTACCGGCATTCGGCGGCGGCTGGGAGTGGTCCATAAAGTGGCGATGCATGCCATACTCCGATCTACATAATAAACCAATTAATCAATCAATCAATATACACATTTTTATATGAGAATAGTAATAATTACTTATAGAACCCCTCCGTGTTGTTGCTATTAAACTCTTGCTGAGACATTGGATTTTTCCAAACTGGTGACTCGGATGTGGATGGTAAACTGCTGGCATTCGAGGTGCTCGTCATGCGTTTATCTCTGCGAAATGAATTCGTTTATATTTTTTTGTGCTTTGCAGCTACTCCAATCCGTTACTCACTTGTAACCCGTGTGTGCAGCCAAACTCTTGAACACATCATCCACTTGACTGTAGAACTTCCACGTGCTGATTATGCCCGTTGTCTCAAATGTCTTTTGTTCCTGTCTGTAACGCTGTGTTAGATTATTCACCTTAAAGTGTACTTCCAGCGCGGTAACGGGTACGCCAAGACCCGTCAACTACAAATCAAAAATTATGATTAATTTATGTATAATTTATCGATATATTGTTGTTGTAACTTACTTGCTTTGCCATAGCCACATAAAGGTGCCCATTTCGTTTGATTGTGCGCAATTCATAGGCGCAAACTTTCCATAGTTTAATTAGCTCTAATACTCCACTATCCTCCCATTGTCGGCGCTTTTTATTGAATTTTTCATACTATAAAGAATTATTTCAATTCAGAATGAGCTCTTTTTTTGGGTGAATATAACACTTACAGGCATTTCACATGGGAATCACTCGCCACAAACGGTCGCCCAACAAAATTCGGCTACCAATTGGAGTTGGGACATGGAGCACGCTAATTAGTATGGAGACATAATTGTACCTCACATCCGCACCTAAAATATAAAATATATATTCAATTACAAAAGTAATAATAAATAATATATTGGACATGCAAGTATTTATGAGCATTAGAAATTAAGTTGAGCCCGCGAGAGTAGAATAAATCCTGTGAAGTTCTTTATAGCTATTATAACTTGGGGTTAACAACATGAAAGTAGTTGAAACATACCATCGAAGAAGGTCTTGAGCATAAGGAACTTACAATTACCGTTGCTCGCAGGCAACAACAGATTAAGACTACAAAACGGGAATGCAAGACAAGAGCTGCGGTGTAAATAGGCAAATATAGTTATTTCCAATAGCAATTAATTAACATGTGCTGATTGTCCTCAAACAGATTGTAAATAAAAATTGAAATAAAAGTAATATAACAATATTCTTTTGGTTATATAAATCTAACTATTTAAAAATTTCGTATGCATATTAAACTTAATATCAAAATAGAATAAACAAAATGATAATAACAAAATTGTTCAAAGTGAAAAAAATTAAAATATTGCTGATATTTATATACAAGATGCTGTTCAATATATGATTTTAAACTGTATTAATTATAATAATAATATCCGGCAATTTACCAACGATTGTTTAAACATTTATTCGGCTTTGGATCGGAAATTAACACAATTTTTTCATCTTAAGTATTATAATTGCAAATAATACCTCGCCTCGCTATTAAGATAATGTTATCTAAAAATATATCCGATATTAGAAATTTATTTGTATATTAATATCACCACAATGAACACATATGAAAAATACGAATTCTTAAGATTTGTTAAATCAGGACAGAAGCAATATATATATATATATAGAAGGCACTCCCACGCTTTTTTACATTGTATATTAAAAATATACGAATTGTCTATATGGTTCACTAGGTAGCACTTTTTTACAGTTCATTCGTTAACATATGTTTACTTTAAGCACGTACAGCTGACAAAGCTGAAGCAGCAGCGAACTGAATAATGAAAAACGTCGCCGAATTGCTTTAACACAGGTCTAAATAAAAATGTTAACAACTAAATATAAGTAAAACAAAGACAAAATGTGCATAGTTATTGCAGTGGTGCTTTAAATCTGAAATGATTTGCAAACAGCACCTGTTTGAGTGATAATTTAAGAACTCGTAATAATTAAATAAAATTATTACATTTTTCAATAATTCTGAAAATGCTTAAATAGATTTGTTTGGCATTGTCTAATTCCACCAAAAATAAATCTGGCAGCGCTTCACATTAAAACACACACACACACACACATGCGCAAATGCACATAATTAACAATTTTAGATTATCATTAAGCTGTAGATAGACCGGCAAATAAACACACGCACACAAGCGCACACACTCACACACACATGCGCTGTAAACAAAAGTCAAATGCAAGGTGTAAAAATTTGCACGCGCGCCTAGGCGATTGGCTCGAGACAACAAACCAACACGAAGGAAGTAAGAAAGAAGCTGACGCGACAACGACTCAAGTTGTACTGAAGCGGTATTTCAAGTATACAAAAGCTGCCAGACCAAATGAAGATGCTCCTACAACAACAACAACAACAAGAGAATGATGCCCCTCAGTTGATGATGGGGCCAAGAAGAAGAGATGGTTACTTTTCTTGAATACACACACGCGTTCAACATTTTTTCCCTTTGCGAGGAATAAAGATACACACACACACACACACACTCACTCACTCACACACACAGATACATACTTTTCGTTTGCTATGGGATTATGTCGCAGCATTAGCAGCAGCAGCGCCTGGACGCGCGCACAATACAATAACAGTCTGCACTGGCACTGGCACTGCACACACACACACACACACACTCACACAAGGAAACGCAAAACTTAATAATAAGTTAAATAATTAAATTTTAATTATGTTCAAGAACAACACACACACACGACAAAACGTAGTTAGCTGCCTCAGCGCTCGAGATATTTACCAACACTAAGCGCAGAGTCAGCACGGCCATAATGACGTTATTCGAGCGAGACAGCAGTAGAGCGCGCAACATGGTGTGAACAGTTCAACTAGTATGCGACTTGACAACGCACAGCGTTGCCAGCCAGTTGGGAAATGTGCCAACAAAAATTTGAAACTAAATTTGTACATGTTGCAAAATGCGCCAAGTTGCAACAATATGACAATCAATGTTGTAGCATGTTATCAGGAATAGTATGGCGCAACCACGCCCACTGCGAGCTTAAATGAGTAATGATTTTTATCTACGATGCGCTCTAGCTTCATTCCAGTCATGTGCATGACCATGTAATTTATCTTAAGCGCGCCAGCAGCAAAAGCAATAGCAACAGCAGCTCGTTAAGGCTAGCAAAGCAAACGCATTATCATCATCATCAACTGTGGCAACCTTTTGTACTATGTACTCTCCTCCGCAACCCGCCCACCTAAATGATGCGCAACTGCTTTTGTTGGCGCGCGCACACGCACACACACACACGCACACATATTCAAACTGTTCTCGTACGCGGTCATCATCATTAGGTTGGAGCAACGGCACTCCATCCCCCCACCACCACACATACATATATATAGTAAATGCGAACGTCATTAGCGTCGGCTAAATAACAAAAAATGATAATGTTGCCGTCGTCGTCATCAGCGCTGGTAATCATCATTAGATTGCACATACATAGTGCATAGAATGAACTTTGTCGCCCGCAACAGGCATCAGCGATTTATGAGAAATCGGCATATGTACATTTTCTAACAGATGGCTCCATCACAAAAAAAAAAAAATTACCTTCATCAATTGCTTTGCAAATTTTTGGAATTTATAGGCGTGCTCCAAATTACGCCAAACTTTTCCGTTACCGCTTTGAAATTGAAAACGGAAAACATTTCCGTTTTTGCAAATTGGAGCACGCCTGTTAATACCACTTTCACAAAATGCTAACTGCTTTATATTTGTAGAATAATCTTACTTGAACACAAACAGAAAAATTTTAATTTATCTACTTTATTTAAAAGGTATTAATTTCTATGTTAAGCAACTGATTTATTTAATTGCTACTTGTTTTGAAATTAATTATTTTCTCTAACAAAATATACGCTAAAAATTCTAATAATATTAATTTTGGTCTGTTTTAATTTAAAATAACATTACAAATCATATTAAATTTGGTTACATTTAAGAACTCGAACGCTTTTCGTATATGGATTATTTTTGGAGAACTATTCGGCGCTGAGACTAAATGGCGATCCAGGAATGTGCTCATCACCCCACTTGGCCACCAGGATGTAGTCGCCTGGATCTCGCACTTGATACGTGACACGATAAATGTTGCGACCCAAATGCTTGAGCAGCACCTCATCGCAGGGTCCCTGAGGTCCCAAGATGCCCACAAACAGCATATTGCTGCCTGCCGCACTTCCATCCACAGTGAACTCATTTCGCTCGAGAAGATTAACGTGTGTCAGCCCCAAACCACGACTTTGCACTCTGCTGGCATCCGACTCAAAGGTGGGCACTGAAAAGTTGCCAGGCAACAAATGATAAAACGAGACATGAATCATGTTTAATATTTGTGTACAGTGGTCTCTCAAAAATGACTAATTACTTATTAATTACATCTATTAAAATAAATAATAATAATTAATGTTAATAATTAAACCCATTTATATATAGTTATAGTAAGTATGTTGGGTCTATTCTGTGGATTATAATTAATATTAATGGATAAATACGCATTACGTTGACTTCTATATAATTATAGCCACATATCCTCCACAGTTTTATGGCTAGATATATTTCCAGGCCACGTTTACCACGCGACCAAAAGTTGGAAGATCCCATAATTTTTGGACCTACAGTGACTCAACTTGTAAGGCATATTATTACAGAAAACTCTTATTCAAAAGATTGTTAAAAACCTATATTTCCCATGCGTGATCGAGGCAGATTCATCCAGTGCCAGTTATCAGATGGCTTAAATAGTTACTAAACTTGTAACAATTCCAATTATTACAAGGCTTAAATTTGCATACCATAATTAATAAATGAAAATTTAATTTATATATTTAATGTGCTGAATTTTAAACTAAATGTAGATAGCTTTACAGTTTATATTCTTTATTCAACACAGATACTCACTTGCTGGACTGGCTGCAGTTGTCTCTGTGCCCGCCTCCGCCAAAGGAGCCCCAGCTATGGTCACAATAATAAACGGCGATTTGGGCAACGGCACAGAATTGCATTTGATGTGCACCTTGTAGAGACCCGCCTGTGGCAGGTGGCATTGCACCTGAAAGCGTTCAGGATCAAGTTGCAGCAGCTCCAAAGGGCAACCATGCTGACCGCTGGGACTCTCGAGGCGCACATCAAAGTTGCCCTTAACTCCGTTGCGTTTGATGATGAAGCTGGCTGTGGAATTGATGCGCACAGCGCCGCTGGGCAAATGGAGCAGCTGCACCTTGCGTGCATCGGTCAGCTCGGGTGCTATGTAAACATTCGGCGGCTCTGTGGGATATGCATCTGTTTGGGTAGCAATTTATAAATAGATGCACTCAATGTTTACTTCCGCATCTGGAAGGGGAGGGCGGCTCGACTCACCCGCATCGGGCGTGCGCTGATATCGCCCAAAAATACAAACACTCTCGGGACTGTTGCCATCGGTGGCATCGCAGCCACCCACTCCCTGGCCCACATTGCCCGCTGCGCTCGCATTTAAACGTAACTCCTGCGACACTTTGAACATGCCAACAAAAACAACAAAAAACACAATTTACAACGATTTACGAGTTTTGCTCTAATCGCTTAAATTTATATTTAAATATTTGCCGTACAATTTGAAAACTATTTTGAATATTCCACAAGCGATTCTGACGTGGCAATGTGTCTATGCACTGCCTGCTCCTTGGCTCGACTGAGTTTTTCACTCTGATCTGCACCGAGCTCTCTCTCTCTCTCTCTCTCTCTCTCTCTCTCTCACTCTCTCCATTTCAATATTGTCGAATATGCTCTGAGAATATTCTCAATATTTTCCATTCACACGCGCCAAAATGCATATGTCTTTAAAATGATACTTTGCTAGTTGGTTTGTTTGTTGGATAGATGGGCATCGTGCCAAGCATTAACATTTATATGTATATTTAGTCAAATATATAGAAATGTGATGTACAATTTATTTATTTTATGCGCAGTAGGGTCAATGGTTTAGAGATTAGCGCAATAATCTGGGGAAAACAAAATTGTTTTCATTTCATTTTAAAGTTGTCTATTTTTTCCACAAATAATAATAAAATATGTAAGATTATTGCAACGCCTAATTTAAATGGAATCCAGCAATAAATTAATTGTTTAACATGTGTGTTATTTTTAAAAAAGCCATCAACTTTAATTTGAAATTAAAAGAAACCCATGAAATTTAATTTAGAATTTTATTTTATTTGTATTTAGTTCAAATAGATTTTTTCCAAATTTAATATAACAATCAATAATATAGATAATTAGAAGTCCAAAACTATAATTTGATATTATGTTTAAATTATTTATTTTTAAGAGAAGCGTAAACTGGCTTTAATGCTAGCATATAGCAAAATTGTTGTTTTCATGGCTAGATTTAAGGATTCATTTATTTTATATTTTATATTATAGTCTGAAACTTTTGAAGAGCAATAACACCAATAATAAATTGCCTTTTAATTGTTTTTTAAGAAATCACAGATAAGATTAATGATACCTGAGCTTATAGGTGTGTTTAGCAGCTTGATCCACCATTTTGTTGCCAAATAACTTAAAAATACTAATATATATCCAGAAACCATCCTTCCTCCTTCTTTATAATTCATATAATAATAAATAACTTCATCATGTCGACTCATAATTTTGTAAATACATAAATCAATTAATATAAATTAATATTTAAAATAAATCAATGTTTTGTTTGTCCTAATACATAAGATTTACATGCCTGGTAACATATATATATATATATATATACATAAATATACATTTTTTTTTGTGTCTTATGTGAGCTGTTAATTAAAATTTTTAAAAATATATAATTCAATCAGAACTAGATAAATGTATACATATATTGAGATCAGAGCCAATATGTGCTACGCCTATAATTCGACTTCTTTCCATATTCCATATTACCAGACAACTCTCAATTGGACTCATATGGCTCCCGTAATATCATAGCCTAATTGCAGATAGTGATATAGATTGGGAAACGTCTTCATATCTGTATTACTCAGATGGCCATAATGGAAAAGAAATGCGTACACCTTGTGGGATAATCAAGGGAATAGTTTTTGTTTAAAGAAGGTACAACTATAATATATTTTTAGTCTCTCTTACGTTCTCTGTAATTTTCAGATTCCTGATGGCTTCTGTACGCATCTGTTGCCAGGTGTTGCGTAATCGTTCCTCCGCATCAGACACATAGCCGGGCGTCCAGTTCTCCTTTAATCTGTACGAGATTATACGTTGTCTCTCCCGCACCGAACGTGGCTGAATCAAGCGTTTGCGCCTGCTCCGCGCGAGTAACATTTCCTCCTGTTTGGCCTTCTTCTCCTCGATTTGTAGACGCATCTTGCGCGCCAAATCTTCACGTTTCTTGCTCGCTGCCGTCTCCTGGAATATGGACACCTGATTCGTCTGACCGTAGAACTTGCAGTAGTAGTTGACCAAGTTGGCATCTGGCGGCGGCATAATACGCCTAAAGTTGCCCAAATGACTCTCCTCCCAGGCGACTTGCTGTGCCAGTGATCCGATCTCCGGCTCTGGCAACTGCACCTTCGTCGTCGGACTGGTCTCCTTGTTAGGAGGCGGTTTCGCGGCCCCACCAGCCATTCGGGCGCGTAGCGCTCTGGGAAACAAATTATTTAACATCTGTGTCAAGGGTATCTTCTAGCCGAGTTCTCTCAACTCGATCATTTTTACTACTCACGTGTCGCCCTTGCTTTTGAGGAGGCGCTGTTTGACACGTTTGCGATCCTCGCGCATGATCTGCTTCTTATCCGCCAGAACGGTGCTGACCAGCGTCAGTGTATCCTTGATGAGTGGACGTTTCACCTCGCGATCCACCTGCTCGTTGGTATGAAAACTGGGCGAATGATTCACCTCTAGGATGTAGGGCTTCAGTTTCCAGTCTACCAAGATGTCAAAGCCAAGTATTTCAAAGCAGGCCTGAATCGTATCGTGACTCGGAAAGCAGGCATTATAATTATGCTTAAGCACTGGCCAAGCACTCAGCATTGTCTTGATGATGACATCATCGACATTGGACCAGAACTCTTTCACATCGTAGTTGTGCCTGGTCATCCAGTTGTTAATCGCACTCAGTTTCCGCTTGCTGCCACAATCATCATTATCGCAGAGGTCATATTGCGAGTTGCGTTTGTTCACCGAATAGTTGGTCAGATGCATATACAAATCCTGAGCATTTCCCGGTGTTGGCTCCACATACTTGTTTGTGGCAAAGCGTGCCAGTCCTTCATTGTAGACATAGAGACGCAGTGGATCCACCGAGGTGATCAATGTATAAACCCGCAAATCAAACTTGTACCCATCAATAAGCAGCGGCTATGATTGGAGAGGGAGGAAAGATTAAAAATGCCGGCTTGGATAACATACTTAATTTACTCGATGAACATATGTCTGGCAGATGAGACGCTCGTTGGCTCCAATGGTCTTCAGATCGTTGGTCAGATAAATACCCCGACCCTGGGCACCCGAGTCCGGCTTCAGAATGAAAGTTCGCTTGTGATTCTGGGCATAGTGCATGGCATCACCATAGCTGAGGCATTGACTTGAGCATCAAATAATTTATCTTAAAGAAGGATCTGCAGTGGATCACTTACTCGGCTGGTAGCATCCACGTTTTGGGAAAGATCTTGTAATCATGCGGATACAATTTGAGCATGCGATTCAAGTTTCTCGAGAGCAGATCCTTGCGACATATCTCGATCATGCCCGGAAAATGATTAATCTGCTGAAAGCGTTTCATATTCTTGAAGAGTTCGACGCCCGGAAACGAATCGGACCACAGTATGTTCCACAATTTCGACTCCTTGACCAGCTTGAAACCCAACGACTTAGAAATGCGACCAATCATCGCATAACGCGAATTTGATACACAAATTGTGCTCTTGGATTCACTGCAGGTGGGGCAGCAATAATGGAAACTAGCCAGATAATTTAAAGTTCAAACTTACCCAATTTTCAGCAGGTCGTCGGCTCCGGGAGATGCCTCTTCTTGATGTGCCGAGCAGGCGACTCGATACTGCTTACTATTGAGCTGAATGAAACCCTCAACCTGTGCATCATTAATCGCACTCGCGGATTTTATGGCCCGAAGGCCACCTTTGAGGCGAGGCGACGCATTCACCTTCTTCTTGCCCAGCTTTGGCTTGGCGGCCACCAATGCTCGACGACGTGGAGATGACAATGTCCATGCCAATTCAACGTTTTGCGTATTGCACTTGGATTCGGAGAGGGCCATTTCAACACCACGTATGAGTGGTGTATGTATTTCCAAGTTCTTCACCCGTTCCTGACGTATCTTCTGTTTGGATAGGTTGCGCAGCTCTTGGATTCTTTTGTAAAACTTGGAATTTTTCAAATTCATTGTTTATCAATCGGAAAAATTAAATCCTGTGTTCTGCTACTAAAATCGAAATTATAAACTGTGTAGTTTCTATTCAGAAAAGATTTAATAATCCGATTGACGCTAGTCTCAAAACGTTTCGTGTTTTATGTGAATAGGTTTCTGAAAATTGGTTGAAAATTGCTTAAAAATCTTCTGCCTTCAGAAATCGATTTAGTTACGAAAGAAATTGGTTTTAGTTAACAAAAAGTGTTTCATTCCAAAACAGTTAAAACGATGATGGCAGATTAATAACAGCTAGTTTTTAAATTATAAACTAAATATCAAAAATAAGAAAACGCTTCAACAACATTTCTTACTCAATTTTTAGCTTATATGCCATGGCTGCTATAAGAAATATTAGTCTCGTAAAAATGTATAAAAAATGTGAACGTATTTAATGTTAAGAACATGATTGAATATAATTAAAATAACAAGAGTCACATAAAAATGTATAAAAATAAAAAATATTGGAATGTTTCGTTCGCAGTAAGCATTTTTAGAATTCTCTGCTGAATGTTTTAAACCTTCGGACAACCTCATCCATTGAGGGTCTCTCCTGTGGATTGGATGCGGCACATTTGAGACCCACTTCTATGGCACACAGGCACTTGTCCAACTCCTCGCCCATCGGCGTCACCAGATGCTTATCGAAGAGATCCAAGCGATTCTGATGCGATTGCAGGCAACTGGATTTAACCGATTTGAGCAGATTTTGCTGATCATTTTGGAGCGTGCATTCGGCCATTAGGCGACCAGTGAACAGCTCCAGCAGGACAACGCCAAAACTATAGATGTCCACTCCAGTGCTCAGTTTCTTCGAACTAAGAAACTCCGGTGGCAAATAGATACGTGTGCCAAACACCTGTCGCACTTCGATGACAGCATCTATGGACTTGGGACCCTCACGCGCCAGCCCAAAATCCCCAATCTTTGGCTGCATGCAGCCATCCAGCAGAATATTCGCCGGCTTTATGTCGCCATGGATTAGCGGCTTGATGCGCGCCGTGTGCAGAAAATAAATGCCTCTGTATAGGATAAATATAATATAATACAATAGATATATATATTGAAATAGTCGCTTACTTTGCCGTGCCCAGAGCTATGGATAAGCGCTCCTGCCATGTCAGCGGCGGCAATGGCTGCTTTGACTTGTGTGCTCTCAATCTGGAGTCGAGCGAACCGTTCTTCATCAGCTGATACACCAGACAGGGTTTCTCCCCATTGATACTGTAGCCGTAGAGCGCCAGAATGTTGTCATGTCGTATGGTATTCAAGTACTTCAACTCGTTGTAGCTCTGCTGCAGATGCACCTGTGTCTTGTCATTGTGCTTGTGGATATAATTCATTGCCTTGATGGCCACATCCAGCTGTTTCCATTCGCCCTTGAAGACCTCGCCAAAGCCACCGTTGCCCAGTTTATTTTCGGGTAGCCAATTTCCTGTGGCATCGAGGAGCTCCTGATAATCGATTTCCAGCAAGGATTGAGCGGCACGTTGAACGCTGCTCACTCGAATATCGCCGGGAGATTCCAAACTATTGCTATTGCTATCATCCGTAACGCCCGACGACGACGATGAGGCGGCGCCATACGGTGGTCCGTTATTAATCTTGGAACTGGCGCTAGCCGGTGCACGTAGCTCGCTAATCGGTTCACTTTTCGGAATGTATTTGTGGAATTTCTCATCCACATGATCCTTAATCAGACGCATCGCATTGTGCAGCTTCATTCTGCAATGAATACATAATTATAGATGTGGATAGAGAAAGAGAGAGGAGATCGAGTAGCTCACTTGTGGAAGAGCGCAAACAGACTGTAAACCGAGTGATTATATTGACCACCCCAAATGTTGAGGAATTCATTGGTGGGCGAACGACCGCGACTATTCTCGCTCTGTATGTGCTGCACATCGCTGGAATAGAGTTTCACAAATGCCGCCAGCTGCTGCCACACATTGAGCGAGTCCAGATGTTCGCACAGAGCCTGACGCACGCTCATCGGCAGCATTCTGATGGGCATTGAGTTGTCCTCGCGACCCGATCGCTTCGCGTTCTCATTGGGCCTGTCTTCAGCTGCTGCCACATTCATGTTGCAACAATGATCGTCTTAGGCAGACTTTCGCTGATTCATGCACAAACCAGAGTTTACAGTCAGCCTGACGGAAAGTGAAATTTAATGCAATAACTTGTTGCACTGGTAAATTCCCAATCAGTGATCCAAACAACAACAATGCTGCGTGGTGCTGCCAGATCAGTCTTAGTCGCATGTACTCGTTACTCGTAGCGAGTACTTAATGTTATCACATCACTTTGTGGGGTGAAGCACAAATAAACATACACAGTTTAAATATGATTATTATATTTAATAAATTTATTGTTAGTGTTTCGAAAATGTTAAAGCCTGAAAATCGTTTATATACCTTTACTTTTTATTATTCTTCAGTAGCTTATTATATATAAAATATTTTGCAGTGTAAATCTTTTTTTAGTTTGTTCTTGTTTTTGTTATTACGAATTCAACTCTCATAAATTGAAGTGAATATATTAATTATTAAACTCATTTTATATATACTTTTACTTTAGATACGTGGATTTTTTTTATTGGGAATATTTGAATAATTCAGTAGAAACCCTCATCGGCATCATCAGTCGGCTTCTGATCGAAATTTGCGCATTTGGCTGCTTCTCCGCCGCGCACTTTGACGTTGTAGCAAACGTTCTCTGCTTTCAACATGCTCTGCCGCATAACGGTAATTTTGCGCCACAATTCCCGGGCACGCTGACAATTCAGACTAACATAACTGTAAATTGAAATTAATTATGGATTACAATTAATTTAATAATATCAAAAATAATTCAACGCACCCCGAGTAGAACTGTTGCAGGGCCTTACAAGTCTCCATGCAGGTGTCTGTGTCACCGCTGCCCAAGGAATTGATGCAGCGACGCATCAGTTCCCCTGTCAAATCCGAGACTCCCAAAATGTATTCAGTTGGATCGACATGAAACTGAAATTTATTGATTACTTTCTCTACAACTTGATCGTCGGGGTTAGGAGATTCCTCTGCTGATTGCGGGAGAGGTTCTCCCTTGTTAACTTCCTCTTCGTACTGCATCACTGCTTGTAAGTCTGACCAAGTGGACACCGATTTGGACTGCTGCTCGCCATTGTCTTCATTGGACAAGTATTCCATATAAGTGTAGGCCTCAATGAACTCCTGCAATCCTGGCGAATATGCGCCACGAAACTGGAACACATCCTGATCCCGCAACTCCAGTGCAATTGCACGAAAGTTGACCTCAATGAGCTTGGTGAGACGCTGCTGCGCCTCCTCGAGTACCTTGGCCTTGTTCTGCTTCCGTCCATCAATGGAATGCAAGAGGAAAATAATTCGCTTCGATTCAATTGTGATGTCGCGACTCAATTTCAAGATGCGCTCGTGGCGATCGTGTTTGCTGTCCAATTCACTTGCATAGCTGCGGAAGGCTTGAACAACCGGATTCTGCTCGTCCAGCTGCACTTGCCGCTTGCGTGGTGCATTGTTATTGTTGCGATAACCGGGATTTTTGGGCATTTTCAGTTTGTTTACAAGTCGAGTGAAAAAGCCGGCAAAAGTTGAAGACAAGTCGATTGACAATGTTGCCACCTTTTTAATTTTGCATAGCTCACCAGCTGTGCAAAGTTATCGTTTTTATGTGTGTTATCGATTGTTATGGTTCGTTCGTGGCAATTATTCGAAAATAAACTTCACATTTTATCGTTCATGTTTACTGTCCCTTTCACTTGCATAGCTTTGGAAGGCTTGCACAACCTATTGTTATTGTTGCGATAACTTAGTTTTTTTTCGGCATTTTCAATTTGCTTACACGTCGCCCGAATAAGCCGGCAAAAGCAGAAGTCGATTGACAATGCTGCCACCTTTTTGGAGTTGACATAGCTCAACAGCTGTGCAAAGTAATCGTTGTGCTGTCTTATCGATTGTCATGGTTTTGGCTGCTGGCATTCTTTCGTGGCAATTATTTTAAAATATTAAAATACACAAATATATTAAGAATTCGAGCACGCAATGCACGAGCCAGCGAGAAAGCCATCCGTAGCTGGTGGGTCGAGCACGGCAGAGAAGCTGTGCTTTGATAAAAATGAGTTTATGAAGGTAAATGCTTAGCTGACATCAGCTGATGTTTATTTCTAATGGGTAAATTTGTTGTCTGCAGGAGAATTTCTCCGTCGACGAGTTTCTGCACAAGAATCGCAATGCGCCCAGCTTGGAGCAGTTGCGCGATAATCTTGGTCTATACTTGAAGGGTCTTCGCGCTGCGATGATAGATCTGATTAACGAAGACTACGCGGATTTTGTCAATCTGAGTGCAAATCTGGTGGGTCTGGATCAGTCCATAGAAACAATACAACGACCGCTGGAGCAGTTTCGTGGTGAAATTGAGAGCATACATAGCCTGATTGAGGAGCAGGTGCTGGAATTGCGTGATCAGCTGCAGGAGAAGCGTCTATTACGGGAATACCACAGCAGTTTCAATAGCAAGAATCGCGTCTACGAGATCATCGGGAAACTACAGGAGTTGATCTCTAATAAGCTTAGCAGCGAGCAGGAACAGTCCACACAGGCTGTGGACTTGGAGCGGGCCGCGCTCGATTTGATATTCTTGCGGTTTCACGAGAAAAACTGTGTGGCTCTCTTAGACAACGATGACAAGGCCAAAATTCAGAAGCTGGAGGAGCAAGTGCATCAGAAATTACGTCGTTTCTTCAACGATGCACTGCAGCAGGCTCGCAATGCACAGGCCTCTGAGCAATTGGAGCGCTGTCTGCGCATCTATATTACACTGGACGCCTGCGAGCAAGCGGAGCGCGCATTTCGCGAAGATGTCGTTGCTCCTTACATGAGTAGCATCATTGGCGAACAGCAGCTGCAGAATTCGCCACAGGGTCTGGCTGGCATTTATAGCAAGATACTGAATTTCATATCGCTGCACATGACAGATCTGCTGCGTCTCACGCTCTACTCAGACAAGCTGAGCGGTTTCAATTTTGTGGTGAACAGCTTTTGGGCGGATGTGGAGATGCGTCTGGAGCTGCATATGAATTCAATTTATGCACCCGGCAATCTGGAGGTGTTCTATGTAAAATACAAATGCACCCGGGACTTTCTGGGTAAGATCGAAGAGCTTCTCACCAGCAGTGGAGAACAGGCAGTCGCCTTCTATCGCCAGCACAAGCAAACAAAAAGCTTCGAGGCACGCTGGAATCTGCCAGTCTACTTTCAAATATGTTTTCAGGTAAATTAATTTATATATTTATGAATTAGACTTTAACTTTAAAATGTTGCAGGAAATCGCTGGCGCCTTCGAAGCCCAACTGGAGCCACTGCTTAAGGATGATACGCTGAATGCGAATCCGGAATTGAACAACTATCAGTTGGCGCCTTTTAATGCCGCCAAGCAGGCGCTGACACGCTGCTGGGCCGAGGGCGTCTATTTGCCCGAAGTCTTTCCCAAATTCTATAAGCTTAATGTGCAAATTGTTTTGCGCTTATCACGTTGGATCACGGACGCTATCGGTGCATCCAAGAGCAGCAGCACCAGCTTCACCAAGTCCTATACGCGCAATCAATTGCTAATTGCTCTGCATGCGGACACCAGGAAGCTGGAAGCATATTTGCCAGAGCTGCAGCAGCTCATCGTCAAAGCTGCACCCAAGACGAAGAATCTGGTTTTATTCAATAATGTTTTGAGCAAATCCATTGCTCATTTGGGCGATACTTTAGACATGCATTTGGGCAGCATACAGGAGACGCTGAAGCAGCTGCTCATCACCGAATGCGGCACGGAGAATGTGCGTCAAGTGAACGATTTGCCGCGTTTGTATCGCAAAACGAATCGTGAGGTGCCCACACGCTGCTCCGGCTATGTGGAGCAAATGCTGCGACCAATCAAGTCATTTACGGCACAGCACGAGACGCAGCTGGGCACGCTGGTGGTGCAGCAGATTCTCGCCGATGTGTGCAGCAATATAACCAAGGCGTAGGTGGCTCCAGCGGCATATCAAATATTTCTCTTAATAACTTTAGCTCTTCCCTTTTTTAGGTATTTCAATGTGGTCAGCGATGTGTTGACTTCTGTGCAGAAAACCGAGGAATCATTGCGTCGGCTGCGCAATCTGAAAAGTGGTGCTGCAACCCATACGCCATCCAGTGGCGTCTCCGATGATGATAAGATACGTCTACAACTGCGCGTCGATGTCGCCGCCTGGACACAGGAGCTGTCCAAGCTCAATTTCCAGTCCACGCAAATCGATAAGCTGTTGGAGTTGACCAACATGGTGGAGGAGAGTATTAAGCAAAAGGAGGGCGTTGCTTTGGCCAGTTAAAGTTAAACACAAATGTATTTAAAATATATATATACATTTTTCAATTTATTATTAATCAATATCTATCCTGTTTCTTTAGGCACAATTAGTCATGTAAATTTTTAAATATATATATTCTGTATAATATATATCTCATATATAAATGCATCAAATTTCTGGTGTAAACACAGGTTTCCCATGATTTAGTCGCTGTTGGAAAAAAGAAGATAGATAAAAGAGATTCCAGAGATTTAGCCAGCTTACGCAGCCAAAAAGAGCGACTATTAACAAAGATCAGGCAAACTACGCATGCTAAACGAATGTTATCTTTGGAAATGTTTAAATGTTTATAGAATGGCATCGAACGGTGCAGAAGAGCGGAAGACAAAAAGATCATAGCCGAAGAAGTAGTAACAAAATGCAGTCTACAAACTACGCAAGCAACGCATCGGCGTTGGCTACATTACAATTTCAGCTCCTCGGTGTCGGGCAGCTTCCTGAAGAACCATTGCAGATGCTCCTCGGTCACTTCAGCCAACGTGGCTGGCTGCCATTTGGGCTGCTGATCCTTGTCAATGAGCAGGGCACGCACACCCTCCTTAAAGTCAGCACGTGGCTCCAAATGACGCACAGCCAAACGATACTCCATAATCAGACACTGGGCCAGGGACAACTGGGAGCCCAGCTCCAGCTGGCGATAGGTAACCTTCAGCGATGTGGGTGAAACTTTGCAAAGGATCTGTGTGGGAGATGTTTTCAAATGAAAATTAAATAAGTTATTATTGACATGATTATTAAAAAATATAATAGCAAATGAGCTGGAATAATTTATAAAATCCATTTCAAAGATTGTTTGTTGCGAAAAGCGGGCAACTCATGACGAGGTGTCAATTAAATATGTTATAATGTTTAAATATTTATACGCTATCTGCGTGTGGCATTCGCAATTGCACCAATTAATTAGCAACTCAACTCGTGTTTAATTTGGGTATTCATTATTCTCAGCACTGACCTCCAGTTGTTTCTTTGCCCAATCGCTGCCATCGTTTTGCAGGTTTTCGAGTATGCCCTCGATAGAGGTGGCGCCAAAGTTCTTGTTGATCTGCTCCAGCAAGGGCTGCAATGCGAACGGTTTCTCTGGTTTCGTGTGGAATTTTGCCAGCAGATCGGGCACCTCATCCGCATCCGGGCAGTTGAGCAGCGCTGCTTCCAGTTCGGGAATTTTACTGCTATCGCAATAGTGTGTGGCAATGCCAGCATAGTAAACATCTCCGCCACGCAGACGCTGACCCGTCAATCCCAAATAGAGACCCAATTTGCCCTGGAGTCGTGGCAAAAAATGTGAGCCGCCCACATCCGGGAAGAGTCCAATCGCCGTCTCGGGCATGGCGAACAGAGTCCGATCCGTGGCCACTCGATATTTACCATGCACACTGAGTCCAACTCCGCCACCCATTGTGATACCATCGATGAGGGCAATATAGGGTATCGTGTAGTTGCCAATCAATGCATTCATCGTATACTCCTCACGGAAGAAATTCTTCGACTCGTCCGTGGGTCCAGCATCGACTAAAGCACGCACATCTCCGCCAGCGCAAAAGGCCTTATCACCGGTGCCCTTGACAATCATCAGTGACTTGGATTTCTCACACTTTTTCAGATGCTTGTAAATCTTGCGCACCATCTCCAAATTGATGGCATTCAGCGCCTTCGGCCTGTTGATGATGATCATGCCCTTGTTCGAGGACTCTGTGGCCAGCACAGAGGATGAGGAGAGTCGCGTCGAGTTTCCAATTGACATTTTACCTGTTGTTGTTGTTGATACTTTTGTTGGGGCTACCGCACAGAGAATCGGCAAGTGACTGTAGGTCTGGTGACCGACGATGTGAATCAACCTTTGAATAGAATTTTGCTGTTCAGCGTTTTAGTTACAAGTTTAATGGACGTTTTAATTATGTCTGTTTAATTTGCATTATTTACCATTTTGCCAAACTTTTGTATTCTTTCTCGTCTCTTTTATTTCGTTCTGTGGCCGCGTGAGTTGCGCAATATCCAAAAATTCAATCACAGTGTTGCCGTACGCAGTAATTCAAGAATGGAACAATTATTGGGAATTGTTTTAAATAAAACTGACTCAAATTGTGGTTGGTTGATTTGTTCAACCTCAGTTTGATTGCAATTGCGCTATATTTATTGCAACTGTGGCATTAAATACACTGCATCTTGAGAACAATGAGATTTAAATAGAGTTGTAATATTTATAAACGAGATGGCAACTCTGCAGAACAATGCAAACGCATAAATATCGTTTATGCCTGCGCTCGTATCGTGATAAATAGAAAAACAAACGCATATTGTGAATTGCAAACTTGGTAACTCGTGTTTTATCGAATAATCAATTGTGAATTTTGCTATCTTATTTTTACATGTTATGCCAAATACTCTAAAATAACTAAAAATATGAACGAGACAAATGGAAATTTCATTAACTATGCATTTACAATTATTTATAGTTAGCTATAGCTTTGGATTGTAGTTTGTACTTTGGAATACATTTAAATTGTAACATAGAAATAATTTGCTAGTAGAAGCAATGCATTTTTTCACTGATCATGATTTTGTGTACATTACATAAACGGTAAACATGACCAAATCGAGTTCGGGGCGCGCATAAACATTGGAATACGAGTAGCAACACGCAGAAAACTAAAGCTCAACTTTATCATTCGCATATTTTTAAACAAATAAACGGTGAGTAAATATTGGTAATCAGCGGCACACACACAGACACGGGGCACAATGCCAAATGATTCAGTGGAATCACAGCCAGCAAGTGGCGCGCATTGAATTATTACTAACTGTGCCTTCGCCTGTGCCATGCCCTTCAGATTTACAAAAATCCGTACAAAGCGTCGTCGCTCATCATCAACATCATCTGCGGCTTTTCCCAATTCCAAACAGATGAACTATGATGGACTGCTCTCCCAGCTGACCGATGACAATCTGGTGTTATTCGATGCGACTGGACAGGGTGCTGCCGGCGCCGCCGCCTCGCTGGTCAATGGCGATGTTCAGGACGGCGCCATCGAGGAGGAGCAGGCAGCCCCAATCCAGACCATACCACATACAGTTGCTGCTGCGTCAGCAAACCTAAACACCAAGGTGGAAAATTGTGCTGCGACAGCAACACCTCAGCGCAAAATATCGACGTCATCACGTTTCATGAATGCCTTCAGTCAGCTTTATGGCGGCAACAGCAACCACAACAGCAACAACTCATGTGCTCACGTGGAACACCAACAACAACACCAACAACAACATCAGCATCAAAATCAACATCACCATCAGCATAATGAGGATGCGGATCTGGCGGCGAATCGTACACCGACCAAGGGCATGGAGTCCAAACTGGTCGCCATGTGGCACAATGTCAAATACGGATGGGGCGGCAAAATACGTCAGACGAGCTTCTCCAAGGAGCAGCCGGTATGGCTGCTGGGACGCTGCTATCATCGTCGCTATACACCGCCCGTCAGCATGGAGAACTCGATTACAGAGCTACCCAGCGGAGCTGAGTTCACGTTGGATAATGCCACATCAGCGTATGACAGCATACCAGCAACGGCGGCCACAACGTCCACCTCCTCCAGCATATATCCCGCAATAAATCCACAGCAAATCGATGAAATCGTTGTGCCTCAAGAGCTGGGAATGGATGCGGCCGAAAACCAAGTGACCGAGTGTCCCTGGGAGGAGGGCATAGAGGGTTTTCGCCGTGATTTCTACAGCCGCATCTGGATGACCTATCGCCGTGAGTTTCCCATCATGAATGGCTCCAACTATACCTCAGACTGCGGCTGGGGCTGCATGCTGCGCAGTGGCCAAATGTTAATCGCCCAGGGCCTAATCTGCCACTTCCTAGGACGCAGTAAGTAGAGTAACTTCAACTTTTACACTGTGCGAGGGTAAACTATTGCTGTTTACATAGGCTGGCGTTACGATCCGGAATCGCAGCTGCACTCCACCTACGAGGATAATATGCATAAGAAGATCATCAAGTGGTTCGGCGATAGCTCATCGAAGAACAGCCCCTTCTCCATACACGCACTGGTGCGTCTCGGCGAGCAGCTGGGCAAGAAGCCTGGCGACTGGTATGGCCCCGCCTCAGTCTCATATTTATTAAAGTGAGTGCTTAAATATAACTCTAAGAAACATGTTAATGAGTCATCATAAATGCAAAATTTATATTATTAAAGTGAATATTAATTTAATATTTAAGTCTTTAATTTATACTTAAGTATAAAATTTGTGAACTAAAAATTCGACTGAGAAAAGTTCAATTTAAAAACCAGTTTTCATTGGTCTGTAAAAATCAAATAATTGAAAATGTGGAACTAATTTTTTTTTACATTGATTTAAATGAGACTTACATGTTTTAAATATTTACTAATCTTAATCAACGTCCACTCGCAGACACGCCTTAGAGCATGCCGCTCAAGAAAATGCCGACTTTGACAATATAAGCGTATACGTGGCCCAGGATTGCACCAGTGAGTCACCAACTGGACACATACATATTAAATATATATATATATATATATATATGTATTATAACACCCACTATCTTTTTAGTTTACATGCAAGATGTTGAGCAGCAGTGCAGCATACCGGAGCCGGCTCCCAAGCAACACGTGCCTTGGCAGCATGCAAAGAAATCGACTAGCGACGCACCCAAATTGGATCAGCCGCCGCAGCAGCACTGGAAATCCTTAATAGTACTCATACCACTGCGTCTGGGCACTGATAAGTTGAATCCGGTCTATGCGCACTGTTTGAAACTGCTGCTGAGCACCGAGCACTGCTTGGGCATTATTGGTGGCAAGCCGAAGCATTCGCTGTATTTTGTAGGTTTCCAGGAGGATAAACTGATACATCTGGATCCGCACTACTGTCAGGAAATGGTGGATGTGAACCAGGAGACATTCTCCATGCACTCATTTCATTGCAAATCGCCGCGCAAAATTAAATCTAGCAAAATGGATCCGAGCTGTTGCATTGGTTTCTATTGTGCCACCAAAACGGATTTCGATAGCTTTGTGGAAAGTGTGCAATTGGTAAGTGGAATCTAGATAATTCTAGTTGGGAACAGTCTTTAATACATCTCTTCACCCCCTTAGTATTTGCATCCCAAACGCTGCGCTTCTGGCGCGACTATGGATAAGTCAACGTCATCTTCATCTTCATCGCATCCTCAGCAGCAGACAGACTATATGGAAATGAATTATCCACTATTTACTTTCTCGCGTGGTCGTTGCCTGGACCATGCACGCGATGAGATGAGTGATTCGCTATACAAGCCACTCATCAAGCAGGTGGCAACGTTGACCGAGGAGCTGGAGGCTGCTGCATTGCCGCAACTGCACAGCCATGAGCCAGATCCCGATGACAGCGAAAGCGAGGAGTTTGTGCTGCTCTAAGTCGTATATATATATATATATGTCTTGCCAGAACCCACAAATCTCTCTAGAATTTTCATGTGGTTTACTCTGTGGAATCTGTGTTATTTTTTACTCATTATATTTATTATTTTTAAGTAACTTTTCTACCGTTGCTCGCTCGCCAACTCGCCCAATACAAAATCGACGTGCATCTCAAAATCAAAGACTTTTGTTATGAAACACATAAATGCATATATCCATATATTTTAATTGCATATTTCATTATTACATATCGTGAATAGTGATTAATTTGTAATTTTATCTCTTTGTTTTTAGCTTCCTTATTGTGGTTCTGTTTGAATTGAATTCGTCTGTATCTGTATATTCCTATGTAGTGTAATTAGTTTATGTAATTCTCGGTATTATTATTTTGTAATGCGTTTAATTGTATGGAATTGAATCGAAAACTGTCTCTCGAAAGTATTTTTTGTAGATTTTATGTCTTAGATTTAAATTATCATAATTAATTGTATTTCCCATCTAGTTACTCCATCATTATTTAGTTCTAAAATTAATTGTACATACCCTCGATTAAATAAATTAAATAATACAAAAATTACGTGTACGTATGTCTTAAAGCCGGGCTTTCTTACTGATAATTTAGACTTAACTATAGATTTAAATTAAAATATGGTAAAAAGAAAAAGGCAAAATTATTGCTCGGTAGAATGTGTCGAAAAATACTTTGATATATCGAGATAGGTCATATAATAGATTACTCTTGTCTTACAGCTATTGATGTATATTATGTTGATACGAGGTGGACACAAAACACAACCATTAACATTTATAGACATTTATAGAAAATACACTGATTCATTATTATTGCTAGACATTATCTATGGCAGATTTGCAATGTAGCTGATATTGTTGCGTGATATCATTAACAATAAATAGATTAATCATACACAGGCGAAAATAAAAATTAGACGTTCTACAAAACAGACAAACAGATTATCAATGTCAAAGTTAATGCAAAAATACTTGAAACATGATTCGAGTTTCGACTTTGCTCCTGTTCCGTTATCAATTAAGACTAGAATAGTTAGAGGTATATGTGGAAAATTGATGGACAGAATGAATAGACAAAGTTTTGCGACTTTCTTAAAATCAGCATTTGATTTTATATTTAGACATTAATATTCGAAAATATCACGCAAACTATTTCCGACACGCAACACCCTTGCTGAAGGTATTATAAATTGGTGGTAAAAAAGTCTCGACTGACTTCATGGAATATATATATATTTTTTTCAATTAGCACCAATTGCAATTAATTAGGTGGTTTAGGCCATTCTGCAAGGGTATATTAAATTCGACGTGTTGTTCTTAATTCTTTCTCTTAAAATCCAGATGATTATTCTTAAATATTCTTAAATATGGAATGCTGTGGAAAAATTGTATATCTATGACCAGATGCCTACATATTTACGATGAGTATTATTATTTGACCAGCTATTTAGCCAGTTTTTCCCTCGCGTCCCACGCGCTTGATGAGCTTGTTGAGATTATCCCGTGCTGTTGTTGCTCTCGCAGAATTGATACTGATGGCCATCTGATAGGATTCGATGGCCTCGGGCACTTTGTCCCAGCGATGGTAGAGCACTCCGAGATTGGTATGATACAGCATGTTGCGTGGATCGATGGCCAGGACACGCTTGTAGAGCGTCTCCGCCTCCACATAGTGCTTCAGCTTGCCGAGCACATTGGCGCGTATGAACATAATGCTCGGCTCATTGGGCAACTGTTCCATGCCCTTCACCGAAATCCGCAGTGCATCCTCGTACATGCCCCGATTATCAAGCATGGTCAGTATGTTTGCCCAGGCCTTCGGCTGACGTGGATTGACGGCGACGGCATGCTGCCAATGATGTAGTGCATCCGCATAATGTTGCTGTTCCAGAAACAAATTACCCATATTATAGTGACAGACGGCATAATCCGGACGAAACTTCAATGCCTTCCAGTAGCTGGCCAGCGCCTCATCGTATTTCTTCTGCGACGCCTGCACAATGCCCAGATTCATCCAGGCGACAGGAAATTCGGGATACGCTTTAAGAGCGGCACGTATATACTTCTCAGCCGTGCGCAGATTGCCATGCTCGCGATACAGATTGCCCAGATTCATCAGTGCCGACTCGTAGCCCGGATACAACTCAATCGCCTTGTGATAGTGCTGAAAGGCCCGGCTGCTATTGCCGGTATCCGTCGCCAGCCTGGCAATATTATAATGCACCTTGGCATTATTGGGACAGACGAGCAGTGCGGACGTAAACAATTTCTCCTCATTCAGCCACTCGGCGGCCCGTTGACGTGTGCGCAGCATGAGCACGGCAAAGAGCAGCATGAGCATCGCCTGGAGAAAGGTGCGCATATAGACATTAATGCCATAGTTGTGGTAACAGTAGAGGAAGCCATACACCGACATCAGACAGAAGCCAATCGAGGGCACATACAGCGTTCGCTCCGCAATCACAAATCCCACGCGCACAATGCCCGAGGCGGGCAGAAATGGAATCACCATCATGCACAGCGCCAACATCAGTCCAGCCAAGCGTCGAAAGTTTGTCGCCGCAACGAGAATGAAGGAGTAGAAGGCAATCACTGCCTGCATGCGCAGATCATAAATGGTGCGCACCAGACTCACACAGCCCAGCGCCCAGTCGAAGCACAGCCACTGCGGACACAACAGCAGCCAAAAGTTGACCACGAAGAGATACTGCTGCGACATGCCACGGGTCATCAGATATTCGCTGTATGCGATGGGATTATCCACTGGTTTAAAGTCGGGCGCCTCGAAATTCTGCCACCAGAGACGCAACACGAGCAGCACCAGCGAACCCCAAAAGTATGTCTGATAGCGAAGGCGATTCAGGACTACTCGTCGCTGCAGTCGCTCCGGCAGCAGATACGTGCCATTCTGAAAGTAGTCCAATATTGCACAGGACAGTGGTATTGTTATTGCCGACTCCTTGAAGAGCATGCCCACGGCCGTGAGGAACATGATGAGACTGACACCGATCTCACCACGCGTATCGATTGTGGCCACCGTCAGCAGGAGGCACAGCAAATGGATCAATGCAAACATTAACTCGGCTCGGCCCACAACGCCGGACACCGCCTCCGTGTGCACGGGATGAACGGCAAATAGGGCAGCAGATATCATTGCCCAACGCTCAACGTTTACGTAATCGATGTAGAAGGAACGGACCAAGCGCCACATGAGCAGCGTATTGACGCAGTGCAGCAGCAGATTGAGGAACTTCATGTGGGCGGCATTCAAGCCCAACATGGCGTACTCATAGTGAAACATCAGCGTTGTCAGTGGCCGAAACGATTTGTGCGAATCCGCACTCAGCAGCGGAGCACCCCAGAAATCATGGCTAAAAATGGCCGACCAATTTGTGGGCAACGAATTCACATTCTTATTTTTCACAATTGCCACCGTGTCGTCGAAAACAAACTTGGCGCCGCTCAGTCCTCCATACCCATAGCAGATCAGGCAAATCAGCACCAATATCGACTGGCACACCAGGCTGTGCAGTCCCGAGATTTGACCCTCCATTTTAACGAAAATTATTGCACTGCACTGTTTTCAAGCTGAACTCTTTTACATGTCTGACAGTTTGTATGCATTTTTCGCCGTTGGGGGTGAGTGCTGACAAGTTGTGCAAAAAAAAGAATTACTATAAAAAAAGCTAAATTTTGAATACTTTATATATTATTATATATGCATATATTAAATTATATGTTGATAATGCGCTATTTTAGTTATCGTTATCTTCACATATTCAGCTTAAGACAGCGTTTTCTCATATATATCTTATTTATTATAAGTATTTTACCATATTTAGAAGAGCCGCATTTGATAACAAGAAAAAGCTAAACGGGCAACACTACCACCACCAAAATGCAAGTTTTGCCATTCACATGCCAACGTTCAAGTCAGCTGTTGATTGCTGCTGCAAAAAGGAACAATAAACAGATTTGTGTGAAAATAATGTCGGAAGAAATTGTGTTTGATTGCTTGCATGCCGAAATAGTCAACTACTGTCTGGATAACAGAAAGGTAAGCGGCATGCACAACTAAACAAACTGGATGAGCAACTCTAGGTGCATTTTTCAGGATCAAAATGATCTGGCCACGTTGGAGTACATTGGGTTTACCACTGGCTATCGCCTCAATGAGCGTCTGACGCGTGACGTCACGCGCTTTAAGGATGAACTGGAGACAATGAAATTCATCTGCACCGATTTCTGGACACTGATCTATAAGAAGCAAGTGGACAATTTGCGGACAAACAATAATGGCATGTACGTGCTCCAGGACAGGGCATTCCGTTTTCTCACACGCATCTCGCCGGGCGCCAAGCAACTGGAACAGGCGCCCAAATTTGTTGCCTTCACCTGCGGCTTGGTGCGAGGCGCACTCAGCAATCTGGGCATAAATAGCACAGTTACCGCCGAGGTGCAGACAATACCCGCCTGCCGGTTTCACGTAGAAGTCAACAGGAGTTAGACGCATATTTGTATTCATATTCTAATTATAACAATTAAAAGTATATATCTAATTGGCTAGCTTATGTTAATCTCTCATAGAATGCTACCAGATTGTGCTCGGTCCAGTTGATAAGCTTGCGTAACGCCCATTTTTCAGTGGAGAGCTGCGGTTCCAACGGATTGGGATCGGTGTGGATGCCCAAACTGGGTTCTGGACCTATCAATATCAGCCACTTGCCCCTAAATGCGCTCAGGTATTCCTCAAAGGCGCCACGATTATTGAAGTAGCAGAAGAGCAGGGCACCTGGCGGCGATTGAGAGCAGCAGCTGCTAAGGAATTGTGCATCCAATTGGGAGTTGGCGTCCTCCACATAGTTGAGGGGAATAAAACTGCGCATGGCATAATTGCTACGCCACCAGCTGGGATCCCTTTCCAGGCCATAGATGTGTAATTTCTGCTCACCAGCTGCTGCCAGTAGCCACTCGAGCAGTCCACTGCCGCAACCAATGCTCAACACCTGATGTATCCCAAACTCCAGCAGCATTTCGTTGCATTTCCTCAAGTCCAGCGCTGTGGGCCAAATCCAGAGCAATTTGCGTTTCAGCTGCTTGTCCAGTGTGTCGCCCAATGTAAGCAGTTTGCGCCAGTTTCGCTGCCCTGCTGCTCCCGCCGTCAGCTTATAGATCTCGTCGAGCGCTTCGACTTCCGTCTGCTCGTGCCACATATCGAACACTGATTGAACAATTATGTTATTTGCTCACGCAGACCCTGGGCATTGACGTCGTCGTCGTTTTATAATTATGGCAAACCGCCAGCATTATTTATATTTAAATAGGTGTGGCAAATCAATTTCGTGCTTATTTTTCCGGTTATTTAATTGGCCCAATTATAAACGATTTCTGAACTTCAGAATCTGTTCAGTTTTTCAGGGTAAAAATATCTGATCTGATTGTTGTAATATATTAAATACTCTTGTAGATTTGATGTGCTTAGATTCAGTTTTCGCATAAAGTCGAACTAGTTTTAATTCAAACTTTCGTCAACCGAATTTTCTGTAATTATAAAAATATGTCCACATTTTTGTATAGTTCCAATTCAATTTCAACACTATTTTGAACAATTTATCAGATAGTTTACTTTTAGATTAAGCTCGTTATTGTTGGAGTTGAAATTTCCAAAAAGAAAGTAGAAAAATCCATCAGTTGGCTGATAAAAATGTTTCGATTTGGGCTGCATCGATAAAAAGTTTCCTTGAGACTAGTTGAAGTAGACAGTCGACAGTTAATACTGATCAAGATCAAGATATATACTTTGGGTGCTCGCAAAAGGCGACATCCGCAATGCGTTACACTTAGAATACCCTCTACAAGGGTGTAAAAAGAGTTAGCTTAGACTATTTAATACTACAACTACTGTTTCAATTGGTGTGTTCATTTTCGTACGAGTTCTTGAAATTCTTGCGCCAATGTCGCTCGCTAAAGTTGGAGCTGCCATGATTTGGAATACGTTGCGGCTGCTGCAACACTTGCTGCTCTTCGCCATCCGGCGCTGGAGTCGTCGCATCCATGTCCAGTTCGTTGCTCAGCTCATTGGAATACTCCTCGTTGTCCAGGTCCAAGATGATTTTCCGATACAGTTTCACATTCTCTTTTTGCATTTGGTCGACAAGTGGGGCATCAGCTGCTGGCGACTCCAGCGTCACCTGGGGCTGTTGTGGTATGAACACCGGCTGCACATTGCCCACACTCTGGATGACGCTGTTGTAGCGCACATTTTGCGCAGACGTCGACGCTGGAGCGGACGTCAGCTGATCGCTGGAGGCGGCGTCTATAATTAGGACGCCTGCATCGAACTGAACACCGGGATGCATGGAGCGCAGATGACGCAACATATTGTCCCGTCGATTGACGGTCACTTCACACAGAGTGCAGCGATAGCTCTGCGTGGCCGTGTGCTGCTTCATGTGTCGCGTGAGGGCGTCCACATCGTTGAAGGTCTTCTGGCATTGGGAGCAGGCGCGTCGCGCACGCTTTACATGACGCTGCTGGTGCAGACGAAGCGTCGACTGGCGCAGAAAGGATTTACTGCAGACGGGGCAGCTGTGTCGCGTGCTGTTCAGATCATGCTTCAGCTGGTGCTGCTTCAAGTTGGCCTTGGTCAGATAGTGCTTGGAGCATGTCTCACATTTGAAGGGCAAACTATCGCCACTGTGGAGCACAGCGTGTGCCGTCAGCGCGCTCTGATTGTGGAACAATCGTGGACAGTCGGGGCAGCCAAATGCATGTGGCTTATGGGCACGCATATGACGCTGGAGGACAATTTTCTGCTTGAAGGATTTGCCGCAATTGTTGCAACAATAGCTGGGATTCGTGCCATGACTGCTCTGATGATACTTCAGATGCGAACGGGTGGCAAATCGCTAAGAATGTAGATAATCATATGGAATCAGGAATATATTGGGAGTTGAGACAATCTACTTACGCGACTGCAGAGGGCGCAGTGGAATTTCTTGAGCAGCTCATTGCCACAAGAGCGATGGTAATATTGTTGCGTGCGACTGCGCAAGGACTTGTTGCACACGGTGCAGTGCCAGCCTTGCCCCGTACTGCTTATATGATTATCACTCGCTACGCCTGCCACAATCGTTGTGGCGTTTTCTGCAGATTGTGCGGCTGCATCTGTAGCCACTGGAATTCGCCTGGTGAGCAGCTGGCATTCGAGGCAATCGGATATATCGGCCAGCAGGCAGGCGCGGCATTTGCTGTGGCCACAGCTATCCGTGACGAGACGATTCTGTCCGGTTGCCTCGCAATTACAGCGCGGACACCTGTTCATCGCATCCGACAGATAGATAGATAAACAGATCGAATCTTTGAGATACACACAGACGACAACTGCAGCAATGCATTTGTTGTTGCACTGCACTGCTTCTTCTGCGTTGCCATTCAAAGCGATGCGCGCGCATTCGCCGCGAACCGTATACAAATGCAACTATTGTGCGCTTTTTAAAACTGGCACAATACATAAACTTTATTTTCTACTTAAATTGCGAGTGATTTACACATATATATACATCGAAATACATTTAAACGTAGCATTTACTCCATTAGGTTGTCCAAATCTAGGGCAGCCACATGTGCGGGAAACAAATGCGACTTTTGCACGGGCACCTGAACAATAAAACGATCGCAGAACTTAGGATTGCGTCTCGTGAGGACCTCACTCAGTATGATATTATTGGTGATTTTCTTGGTGATAAGCAGGCGACGCGATTCACCTTTGCCATAGCTACTCGAACGGAGTCCAAACTTGCTGGCAATCCTAAAATAAATTGGAATTTATTAGAGTCAATGTGTGTAAGTTGTTTAGTGGCGGAAATGGAACCCACTGATGAAAGGTGGCACGATCCTCTTTGGAGAAGGAGGGTTCAAACTGCATGTCCCGAATATCATCAGAATTCACATAGTTCTCAATGAGCTTGCGATAGTCGGAGAGATTATTATGCGGATCCGTGGAGCCCAAGCCCATGCGATTGTTTTTCAGCAGGTAACTAGAAATTAACATAATTATAATATAAAATATATATGTAATCAAGGAGAGAGCCCACCCCACTGGTTCCTCGCGTCCCTGCTTGAGGCGACCCAGTCCGCCGCCTGTCCAGCCCATGAGGCGCATCATGTGGTAGCCCTTGTTGCTCGCATCTAGCTTGGAATCCGCCAAGTTGTCCGCCGACTCCTTGGTGACTTTAATGTCCACGCCATGGTTGCTCCTCTCCACCTGAATCGTTTGACGCGACGCATTCAGCTGCGAATTGCGAGAAACATGTTAGAGAAAGAGCAGGCGACAATTTACTACAGAGATGCCTACCTTAATGCTATAACAGTGAGCCTGGAGCAGGAGCAGCGCCTGCTTGAAGGCCATCAATTTGGCCGCCTTTAGATTCTCGCCACTGGCGCTAGCTATCAGCGTATCGTTCACTAAAATCTCCGCCGATTTGGATGCATCCGATTGCTCGTCACCCTGTCGCTCATCGTATTTCATGTTGGCCATGTTGCAGGAGTTGCGGATACAACTGCGTCCGCCGGCCAAAAAAATGACGAGCTTGCCAAAGCGCAGGCCATCAAAAAGATTGATGGGATCGCCGCCGCCAAAGCAAATGCGCTCCTTTTGCAAATCTCGCGCAGGAGCAGGAGCAGGAGCTGGAGCAGCTTTGCGCCCTAGTTGTGTTAGTTGGAATACGTAATAAGGATTTTTGTGTTGTTCTTGTTTTGCTTGTTGTCTCAGTATGTATTTCGGAAATAATATATGTAAATCATTGTCTCTTTGTTATTATTTATTGTTGTTCCGTCTACCTTTGGCACGCTGTTCAGCTGCATCCGATGCGGAGACAAAGGTGCGCTTCAGTCGCAAGGCACGATTTTTACGGAACTCCTCGGCGATATCTTTGGATAATTCGGCAACGAGAAGCATCACATCCGAGGGATATTTGCAGCCCATGAACTCCATGTTGATGAATGTCTGGGCGAGGCACACCAAACGCTCCTCGTCAAAGCGATCTTTGTGCTCGACCATAAAACTGCGTCGCAGCTCCCAATGCTCCTCGCTTTCGTATTCCGTTTTGTACTCATCCACATCCCAATCTGTTGGAAATTCCCCGGTATTTTGTGCCTCTTGCAGCACCTTGTTTACTTTGCGGCTGTGCTTTGAAGTGCTCGGCGTCTCTTCATCCGTTCTTTGTCGCTTAGCTGCGGTTGCCATTTGAAAGTGCGCTTTTTATATATTTCGTTTCTATTTTTTCTTATGAATCGAAAATTAAAAAAAATGTCTGGCACGATGCGCTGATGGGAACGATAGCGTTGGTAATTGCCATTCACATGCGAACGCATCCGAACACATCGTTATCGCTGCCGATAACAATTTCTCCACCTGGCTCTCTCTCTGTCAGCGCTTTGAGTGCCCGTGTTGTGTGTTTTTTGATTTTTCTGGTTTTTGTTAATTTTAATTTCGTGCACCGAGTGACGATAGGCGTTACAAGTGTCCCAAGAAAAAAAACGTGCATGCACTCCAATTACGACATCGGCCTGGAATAAAAGATAAACCGGACAGAACAGCGCCTACAAAAATGAGCATACCCAACGAGTATATTACAAAAACGGAAGATGTGGCCGAACAGGTAATTCTTCTTAGGATCATTTACCGTGAAAGTAGCACTCAAAATGCATTTGCACTTGGGCCCGAGCACCATTTGCATCCCAGCAAATCGTACAAAAGCCGAAGGCGATCCAAGGCAAAGGCCTAGAAAACTGCCAACGTCATCCAAACGCGGCAAAAGTTCGAAGCTCAATCGCTAAAAATTGACCAATGCCGACGGCGTCTCAGTTGAACCCAGTCAATCTGCTCAAAATCCAACTAGCACCTAATTTTTGACAGGAATGCAATTGACATTTCGAAAATCATATCTAATTGGCATTTGTTGAGAAAACGCCATATGTGCTTGCTCTTTGTGTGTGTGAGTGTGTGTGTGTGTGTGTGCGAAAGCGTGCGTGTACTAGTGAAAGTGGTGAGAGTGAGCGGCATTAATGTTGTTGCGTCGTCCATCTCCAACTAAGTTCCGTAATAAGTTTGGGCAAATGAAAATCTTGCTTACAGATTAACACACACACAAGCATACGTGTGGACATGCTTATGTGTGTGAGTGCTTTACATATGTATCAATATTCATATTATGCATTTGAGCGATCGGCGACTAGGCATGAAAACCCGTTACTGTAACATTTCGCAGAAGAGCAACGGAGAGTGGGACAGAGCGAGAGAGAATGCGAGAGAGAGAGACACGTCATTCTCCCCGTTTGCTGTCTTTCTGGCTTTCTTGCTGCCAAATCAACACTGTCTTGTCAGAAAAGCCACGCTCCACAGCATAATGTAAATGGCAGTGTGTGCGTATGGGATTCTTATCAGAATCTAATTGAGTGCACTCCCGCCTTATCGATATTCAAACGATTTTCCGATCACCCCCAGTTATCATTATTGCTTTGGCACCAGAATCCACTTTTAACAAATATAGTTAAACACAAAACAAAAAAATTTTAGAAATCTGATTATATAAAATTAAAAATGGAAAGTGAAGAAATAGTGAAAGACAAAATTATAGATAATTTTCGGTAATCGGTATAAATTAGCTTTCATATCTTTTAATTTTAGATAAATTATTTAGAGAAAACTAATACAAACAACTCAAACTTATTATTAAAAAAATATATAGATATATATATTTAAATGTCGAAGTTTTCATTTAAACAGAAAATATATTTCAATATTAATCTAAAAAACATTTCGTTTCTCATTGGAAAAATATTGTTGATTATTTGATGATTACGCTTTGAGGTTAATCTATTAAAATATGTAATAATTTATATAAAATATATAACATCTATGAATATTTGAATGCAATCATTTTCAAGCGATTCATAAAAATGTATTTAAATTACATAAAACTTTCTAGTACACTTAAAAAAAACAATTGGTAAATATTTGTCGTAACTTGGTGTTATCATAATCAAAATATGAACTGCTGCTTTAATTTGTGCTTAATGTGCTTAATTTGGGGAATTTCAGTTATTTTTTTCTTTACCTGCGCCAATTCGTGGAAAATCAGCTGTTCAAATATTATGTTATATACGCAAAAAAAAAAACATACAAACAAAATATAAGATGTAAATAGATTAAGTAATTAAAATGTGTTTTCAATTCGATTTTTTTTTGTGATTTTTTGTTTTGTTGCCTTAAAGGTCATCAAGCGCGGCAAATATGTGTTGCCAACTGTTGCGCGACTGTGCCTTATTGCCACATTCTTCGAGGATGGCCTGCGCATGTACTTCCAGTGGAACGAGCAGCGCGAATATATGGACATGAGCTGGGGCTGTGGCAAGTTTATGGCGACGGTCTTTGTGCTGACGAATCTATTTGGACAACTTGGCGGCTGTGGCATGGTAATGGCTAGATTCAAGGTGGACATTGCTGTCGGTCTGCTCTTCTTTATTGTAGTGCTACAGGTGAGTAAATATATAATATATATATCAATATATATATAATATGTAATTAATATCTGTTGTTGCTTGTAGACAATAGCCTATTCCATACTGTGGGACTTCCAGTTCTTGTTGCGCAACTTTGCCTTGATCGGTGCCCTGCTGCTGGTGCTCGCGGAGGCCAGGATCGAGGGACGCAGCTTATTTGCTGGTGTGCCCTCGCTGGGCGATAATAAGCCCAAGAACTTTATGCAGCTGGCTGGACGCATCCTGTTGGCTTTCATGTTCATAACGCTGATCCGTTTCGAGTTGAGCGTGTGGAATGTGATTCAGGATATCATTGGATCCACTTTGATGGTGCTCGTTGTGCTCGGCTACAAGACAAAGTTGTCGGCGTTAATTCTTGTCGCGCTGCTGTCCGTGCTCAATTTGTATCACAATGCCTGGTGGACCATTCCGTCTTACAAGCCACTGAGGGACTTTTTAAAATATGACTTCTTCCAGGTATGTAGAAAATTAAAGTTATTGATTTTCACATTATATATTATGATATCTATATGATTTATGCAGACACTGTCCGTCATCGGCGGCTTGCTCATGATTGTCTCCTTGGGCCCCGGAGGCGTCTCCATGGATGAGCACAAGAAGAAATGGTAGAGAGTGTCTTAAGAATCGCCTGAAAAGTATAGAATTGACTTTTTTTTTACAAAAACTTGCGATTAACTCTTACGGATGAAATTTAGTTAGAATTACCATAAAATGGAACAACAGGAGCAACAGCAACAGCAAAAGCACAACAAACCAATTGATAAACTTGACATAATAATAAACAAAGGATAAATATGATGAAATAAAAAGGGACTTCCGCAATATCCAGGCTAAAAACGATTAAGGCCCACCAACAAACATTCGCGCACGTTTAACGACAAAACTTCGTACATATTTACATATATATAAGAGACATTTTCGTTTTGTACATAAAATACGGCGATTTTATGCCCCCAAATGAGAGACATTCAACTGATTTTATATTTCGTTTACAATCTGTCCATGAAACACACCATTTAATAATTTGTTTTTGCAAAACTCTTCGTTTAATTTCGTAATTTGTACGCCCTTTTTTAAGTTGTAATAATAATAATGATTTAATGTGTTTGCGTTTGTTGTTTGATAAGAAGTTCAATTATGATGATAGCGGTGTATAAAAATATGATGAATTGTACCAATTGACGATGATTTGTTTCTTTCGTTTATAAGCAAAATGTAATAGAATTAAATTGTAACGTTTTAATAAACAACTAAAATACAAAAAGACGAGAAAAGTTGTTTCTTTTTTAAAAAAAAAAAGCCGCCAAACATTTTTCGTATTTCGCTTGTCGATTACGATGCAAGACCAGGGCTGGCCGATAACACACCGTGTGAATATCAATTAACACATCGATAACTTTGCGAACTGTGGCGAATTTCCATCAGCTGTCAACATACGCGCAACATGCAAAATTCACCAATAAAGGTAGCTATAAAAACATGCCTTGTCGCATGCGCGAATTGCAAACGGAGCTCAAATTTACGTCGGATGTGGGCATCCAATGCCAGCTGGATGATCCGGATAATCAGTGGTGGAGCAACCGAAGCCCACTGACAACGAGAGTGAATTCCTTGAGTATGTGAAGCAGCACACCAGCATCTTTCCCAATGGAATGCTCGAGCGTCGCCAATGCGGCGAAGTGTCAAATTTGCCGTCGAAGCATCAGCGTCACATGAGAGTCCATTATGGACCGCCTGCGCTATGCTTTCATTACGGCAAATTAGTCTCGCATCAGCACTTCCTTGCGCAGCACAGCTACAGTTGCCGGGAACTGCATCCACGCAGTTTCTGGCTCGCCGCATGCTGGAATTAGACTGCAGCAAGGCCAAATATATTTACCTAGCGAGCAGCACAAACCAATCTCCTCGTGGAAAATCCCAATTGCAAACTTCGCTTCAGCAATCCGCTGCGTTGTGCCAGGCACACCAAGGAGGGCGTTAATAAGAGTTACTACTCAAAGATAAAAAGAGTTAACCTGGCTAATTCCCAGAAATGTTGATCTTATTTTTAATCAATAAACAATTATAATAAAAAATGATGTTTCTTTAAGATGAGGACGCCTGGACGCCATGTGCCTTTTTCAGTCCCTGATACAACTGCAGCTTCTCCAGATTCAGCTCCTTCAGGGTCTGCACGGCCAGCTCCAGTTGCACCTTCTTCAGCGCATGCTCCCCGCCAATATATTCCTCGATGAACTTCAAACTGATCTCATCCGCAGCAAAGTCCTGCTCCGTTTTTCCAATAGCCGCTTGAATGTCATCCTGAATATGCTGTTCCTGCGGCTTTTTCAAACAGTTACGCAGCTCGGCGAGTGCACGTTGACCAGGTGTTGGCTGCAGTGCGTCCAATTGGCCGAGTGTCTGCTTGTAATCCACAGGAATTTGATGAATCTTATAGCTCAGGGCAATCAGCTCCACAGCGTTGTGCAGATAATCCTGGCGTATCATATCGTAGAGCAGATCATCGATGCAACGATGCCAGGCGTAAAAGAAGGCCATCGGTCCAAAGTGTCGCGTGGAGCGCAACAAATCGAATTGCTTCGATTCCATTAAATGCTCAAAAACCCTCGCCGAGATCTGATGGAACTCCAGCTCATACGGCTCATATTGCACGGTGAGGCGATCCAGCACAAATTCGTATTTGTGCTCCTCGAGACAACGTTGCAACAGCTCCGGCTTCGAGAACATCCTGGGCGTATAAGATCTGCGTCCGTCCAGTGGGAAATACAATTGATTCATTCGCTTGCGCGTATCCAGCGAGGCGTAAGACAAGCTGCCATCCACATCTCGTACTACGACCTTACGCTCCGAGTTGCGCAGTCCAAAGGTGATGTCCGTGAATACATATTTTGTGTCCGCAAAATCCTTCAGCGCCGCATCTTTGGTTATCAGCGCGTCCTGAGCATCCTCTTTGACTTTGACAACTGGCGGCATTTGCAGCAATTTGTTGGCCTTGACAATCGTCTGGAGGAACTCCTTTTCCAGCTGGGCGGTGGTCATGAATTTCGTTTCCGTGCTGTTGTCCGACACGGTTCGTTTCCGGAACACTTTGTCCAGTTGCAGTTGCGTCATGTTTTGCAGCAGACGCTGCGTTTCGGCGTCTGTAAATAGTGGCTGGGGATCCTTATCATATTGACGTGTGTTGCTGCTAGCGCTGCCGGCTAGTGTGCGTCTTGTGTGCTCCACGCTTAGCTTGCGGAAATGCCTCAACAGGGACATTTTAATACAATAAAAGTACGCCGAAAATTTAACCAAAACACGAGCTGGGAAATCTGCACGGCTTGCAGTGCTGTACAACGACTAACTATCGATATGCCAGCAATCGATATGCGTTCGCAACCAACAGCTGTTCGCGCTTCCCTGCGAATAGCAAATGAAGAAGAACTTGCATATTTTACGTTTTCTGCTCTCCGCTCGGCTGTTATTATTATTTTTTTTTGTATAGTTTTGTGCCAAGAAGTCGGTTTGTAAGACCAGAAAAATAAGAAGAAAAACATTAGTTTGACGAGCGTGTGTACAACACTATGAATAATGTACATAACGATTGCGTTGCTGCGCAAAAGCGACGCTTGTCCGACTGCGAACCAGCGAAACCAGCGGACGAGATTCCCTTTCCGCCGTCGCAGGAGCAGCCGACGCAGCCGAAAAAACGCAAAACAGAAGAACTGCAAAGGCAACAACAGCAGCAGCAGCAGCAGCAGGAGCAACAAAATAAGCACAATTTGTTGAGCTTCTGCGATGAGCTGCTCTTTGAGATATTCAAGTATCTGGACACATCTTCCATACTCGCCGTCATGCAGTAAGTAAAACTGATCTCTTTTTGTGCCGTTTTTTTTCTCATTATTTTGGTCTCCCTGATTGCAGTTGCTCGCCGCGCTTTGAGAGCTTGCTCTTGGATCATCGCTTCTGGCACAATATTGATCTCAGCAATGCGCCGCTGCCGTTGGGCATTCTGGAGGAGATACTCGGACGTGCCACGGACAAGACGCACACAATTAAGATATGCGGCCCACCCTCATCTCAGCATGTTGCCGGCGAATTCAAACAGTTCACCTGCACTTTGACCTCCGTTTTTCCAAGGGTCGCCCGGCAACTGCAGGTCCTCGAACTGGAGGGCGTTAGTCTGGATTTTGAATATGTTAGTAGCGATTAGCCGCCTAAATATTTTTAGTTTAGAACTGTAACTTAGAAAGTTGTCGGCAAATTCAGTTGATCTGCGCCAAGTCAAATTGGATAAGAAAATCACTTGCTCATTTGCTGCAAACTGTGAATTAGAAATTGATTCATAAAAGGCAGTAAATCAGTTCAAAAATGTATAGCAAAGTTGAATTCTATTTATATATATTTGTTGAGCAGTTTAAATTAGCCAATTTTGTCAGTCTGCTTCTAGATTTTGCGACCGTCCCTTAAATATAATCAACCCAGATTTCAGTGCTAGTTGGAACAAGATTTCTATTTGATGAGTAGATTTGTTTTCACATCGTTTTTCTATATTATAAAACGTTTACATTAAATAGCATTCAATTCTGTTGTTGCTTAACTCAACATCCTCAACACAAATAACCAATTATGCAATTTATTAGGCTTGCAAACATTTCATTTCACATTTCTACAGTTTATTTGAAGTGCACCAATGAGTTTTTCCAGGTTATTAAACATATTCTTATATTCCTACTGATCATCTGACCTTTCATCTTTTCACAGCTACATATATCGGAATTTCCCGCCTCGCTGAAACGTCTCGTTCTCAAGGATTGCAGCGTTAAAGTCGGCAATCATGTCAAGAGCATATTTCACACGATAGAAAAGCAATTGGTTGACTTGGAGGTGTGTACACAAATCTAATTGGAATTGATTTATAGTAAGACTAATTGTGCATTTCACTATATATAGGATCTCAGCATTGAGGATAATCACTGGTTTGAGCCGTACTACATAATGGCACTGTCCAAGCTGCCCGTGTTGCGTCGACTCAGTTTGAAGGGCTGCCAAATGATGTGTAAATTTGTGCCCTACGGCAGCATGGCGGCCCGCTTTGGCTTTCAAAAGTTGGAGGTCTGTAATGAGTTAAAAATTAATTTATATACACATATATAACATATCAAACAAGAGAGAACGTTGCAGTTATAAGCCATAAGCTACAAAGAACAGGGTGGATTGACCCAAGAAGTACTGTCTAAATTTGCCTTTCAACTTGCGATAGAAATAAGCTAGTAACATTCCTTCCCAGTTTGGTAACTGTAGCTCTTAAATTACGGGAGATGTAGGCTTGGTGGGCGTGGTCCAAAATGTTTTTTTTCTCCGATTTTTGAAGGGTGTTACTAGCAATATATCTTTCTGAATTGGGCACTCTAGCTTTCAAATTGTGTGAGATTCGAGATGCGAATTTCAGATTCCTAGGGACAAGTTGCTGGGGGCGAAGGGTGTGGGCGTGGTCTGATAATTTATATGCCGATCCTTAGAGAAGGCTACCAGCAAGTTATCTTCCAAGTTTGGTCACTCTATCTATAAAATAGTGGGAGATATGCGGACTTATCGAATTACACTTGTGAGAATGGCCATGCAAATTTGTTATTGATTCTTAAAGACGGCGTGGGCGTGGCATATGCCGATATTTGAAGAAGTACATCGCCAACAACCTACAAATTAAAATTGTGGGAGATATGTGGCCTTATCGATTTGCGCATATCGATTTTTATCGATTGACGTAGCACTCAAATTGTAACACTTTTTGTCATTTTTCACAGGTGCTCGATCTGCGTTTGACGCCCATTAACAATTCGGATCTGCAGTGTTTTAGCGCCATTGAAACACTGAGAGAACTGCTGCTGGATTCACCGCCCAATCTGCCAGAGAAACCGCCGTCCCCAGGGAAAACGAGCAATGGCAGCGGCGAGGAATCAACAACTGCCACGCAAACGGACTCGGCCAAAATGCTCAGCGATGACGAGCCATCAACATCCCGTGCAGCCATGGAACAATATCGTGCACAGAATGCGCGAAATCAGGAATCCACAACGACAACAACAGCAGCAGCAGGCGCAGAAGGAGCAGAAGCAGCTGGTAGCGATACATTCGCCACGGACAATTGCAATGGACAACAGAGGCAGCAGAGGGACAACAGCGATTCGAGGCATGCACGGCATGGTGGATGTGTTTCGTCAGAGTCCGAGGATGAGGACACCTCATCAACGTCGGCGTCCTCATCCGATAAATCGGATAATGTCGCCGGGCACAGCAACGAGCATAGCTCCGATGCGGATGGCAATGGTGGCATGCAGTCACCACTTGTCGTCATAAGGCTGCCCAGCATGGCACGCGAACGTTCGCCATCGCCGGCCGAGCATGCTGCCGCCAATGTTGAGAATATTGAGAATCCCGAACCAGGTGCAGCAACGGGTGCCGCAGGAGCCGGAGCAGGCGCAGCAGCTGGAGCTGGAGCGGGTGCTGGTGGTGGTGGTGGTGGTTCGGGGACGCCGCGTGCCTACGTCTATCTGCAGAATGGTGTGCCACATTTTGGACAACGGCCGCAGCAGGCGATGGCCTGCATCCTCGAGATGGTCGATCAGAATTGGCGCGGCAATCAGCCGGCGCACAGTCGTTTCCTGCCGCGACGCGACGACATCATCTATACGGACCGCCAGCGAATGGTTGACTTTACGCGCCGCCGTCGCAGCCAACAACAAAATGGCAATGCCAATAACGGCAATTTCCAGCAGGTGGTGCAACATCAGATGTTCTGGAATATGCTCGATCCCCTGGACAGGGAATATCCCCGACGATTGCGCAGTCGTCCGCCAACAAGTTCACTGCTGCCACAATACTATGTCTCGGATCGGGCGATCTATAGCTTTGGCCGTGCACCGAATCCGGTGCAGCCGGAGATGGTCTGGATACGCAACGCGAATCGGTCGTCCAACAATCGACTCGAACGCATCCAGCTGTGCAATTATACACACATCACAAACTATACACTGGAGCATCTGGTGCAGTGCTCCCCCAATCTAATCTATATCGATGTGAGCGGCACGAGTGTCACACAATTGGGTGTGAATAATTTTAAGAGATTCAAGCCCGAATGCGAGGTGATTGCAACGCATTTAACACTACTGAATAAACAACAGACGGAGACGGAGACGGAGGCGGAGACGGACGCGGATGCAGATGCAGATGCAGAGACGGATACATCGAGGGAGGAGCAGCAGCAGCAGCAATCTGAAGAGTAGATCCAAACAGCAGCAGAAGAAACAGAAACAGTTGTTGTGGAAGCAACACCAATCGATAATCTTGACAATGGTCAGCAGAGGGAGCAGCAGCAGCAATCTAAAAACTAGAATTAAATATGAATCTTTTTGAAACTATTTCGAATGTCCAGGAGCTGAATTGTGGATAACTTCCTTCTTCTGCTGCTGTTGTGTGGCACAGAGTTATTTAGTATTATGTTTGGAACACACACACACACACACACACACACACACACTGTATATATATATATATAATACTATATATATATATTATGTGTATATGCGGTCAGTTTAAACTACTTGTTAAGCATTAAAAGACAAACGATAAACCTTTTTTGGAATTGATCAATCTAATGTCATTTGTATTTTGGTAGCCATTTGTTGGTTATTGGTTATTGTGTGTTATTAATGTTCTTGGTCAATTTTTAAACAATTGTTCAGTTTCGTTTTTTCTAATTTGTGTTGTGGTGTGGCAAACATACATGGAAAATATCGTGTAAAGTGTGTAAATAAGTTTTAACTATAGTATATTTTCATTGGATGTGCTTTGCTCTGTTTTGATTGTTTTTCTCTTTTGGGTTTACCCTTCACACTCATTGTTGGATGAGGCCTCCTCGCCACCATTCGATTCATCGTCGTCGTCGTCATCGCTGCCATCTGTCTCGCTTTCCGTATCGGAGCTTTGGCAATCGGCAATCTCGCCGGTAAAGAATACAACGGCCTTGGGTATGACGCGCTCCTTGAGATAGAAGCCCAGCTCGAAGTCATTCTGCAGTATGGCCTGACGAATGAGTAGAACAAAACATTACGATTCTAAATCTGATGGTGGGGCTATGCATGGCTTACATTAATATCTTTAAAGTTGAGATCTTCGGGATCTTCGGGCAGTATGGGTGGCGAGAAGAAATCAAAGAATGACGGTTCTGCTGTGAATTAAATTTGTTTGCATATCTTAAATGGAAACTTATGACTGTAAAAAATTATATTCCAAGTTTCCTAGTTGAGAATTTTTGGAACTTTTATCTGTGACACCAAATTACTTCAATGCTTTGTTTGCTTAAAATTTAATTTTTTCAAATGGTGTCAGAGAGAAATGTGAAATATTTCTTCAATAAATGTTTGAATTGATTTTGAAATATTTAATGTGAGCACAAGTTGCAGGTCATTTTGAAGACAGATCTTTGACAAAAATTTTGATGTCTTCAAAACCATTGAAACATATTTTGAGGCCTTTAAAAACGGAACCAAAAAAGCTCAGCTTTTATGGATCTTTGACAAAAGTAGATGAAGATGAGCAACACTTTGAAGCTACGGTATTTTTTCAATAAGGATATGGGGGAAGAGGATATATACAGACTGACGGAAATCAGATAGGTTTTCCCCCACGGATTTCTATTTGGATTATCCAATTGAAAACTAACCGACAAGTTTCTCACGCTCCGCTGGATGCTTCCAATCGATTTGGCAACCCTCGCATTTGACAATCTCGGCGCCATCGAAGGAGATCGGATCGTCCTTGTTGGGCGTGCAGTTCAAGATGTAGGTTTTGGTCAGAATGCGATTCTTGAAGTAGTCGTTCTTTTCGAAAGTGAACTCGAGCACAAACTGCACAGTATCGTCATTATAGTGCTTGGATCGCAGATCGATCATATGCTGCAATGTAACTGTGAAAGTAAGGCAATTTACGGGTTGCGGGTTCTTCGATAACATACCAATAGTATTTTTTCATCGTCTTTGGTAATGAATTCGGTGTAGGAGGCCTTCAATACGATTAGCCAAAATTTGGATACGTTCTCAATGGAAGTGGCATCGCCATGATTTTGTTTCTTAAAATCTCTGGGAATTTATATATATATATATATATAATATATATTTTGTGTTTTCCCAGCTTACTCAAGTATCTTTTTGCGCTTGTCAAATATCTCGTTGTGTTGCTTTTCATACGATTTTTCCATATTGTAAATTTCATGCTGCATTTTAACATCCAGATTGATGGTCTGCATATAGAGCTGCTTCAGGTCGGAAATCACTTTCATGTCATTCTCGCTGAATTTCTGAATTGAAATAGGAATTTTATAAGCTTCATATACATATAGATATATAGATATATATCTATATATCTATATACACACTTACAATCTTGGAAGTATCGATGAGCGGCTGCGGTGCGCTGATCTTCAGTTTGTTGGTGGCACGACATAATTCCTCCATTTGTTGTCCTCTTTGTCCAATTTAGCGTTGATGAAAACGAAAAACGTTTGTATTGTTACAGAATTTGTGAAAATATTTTGAAATCTGTCGAGTTTTAAGTCGTGAGCTGTTGTAGCACAAATGATTTTATAATGTGCACCCAAAGTTCTCACAGATAAATCATCTCGACATGAACAACAAAGCTTACTTTTTTTATTATAATAAAATGAATCATATATTTAGTACTATTTATTTTTATTGTGAGAGTCTGTGAGTCTTGGATTTATAGTGGCTCTCCCATATAATAAAGTATTATAGTTCTTGATCCAAACCTGGTCGAAAAGTCCTCAAAACCATAGCCTTAATGGTTGTAGGCCCCCTAGTTGGGAAAGGTCTACTTATTATTTTTAACTTATATTATACAGAACGATATTGACTTTATATATCTTTATCATCAAACGAAAATGGAAAATTATAAAACCAAATATTACTTTAACTTCAAGTGATTTGGAGTGGTTGGAAAAAAGGTTTGTATGGCAACAAAATAAATATTTACCATTACCTATTTTAAACATATTTTTTTGATAACAAATTAAATTAAAAGTTGTATATATTTTGTATATTTTGCTGCTACATATTTTAGAGCGCTATCAGCAAAAAATAGCATTGAAATCAAAATACAAATATAAATCAACGAATTCTGATTCGCAAATATGTTTTTATAACATATTGCAGCAGATAAGGACTAATCTTAATCTTGCTTTAAATTATTCCAATATAAATATAAATATTATTCAATATTTGCTCAATAATTATTTTTAGCATTCATTTAACTCAAGATAGGGCTTCTTCTAACGCTTTTTTAGGAGCAGACTTATCTAATCTTATCTAAGCGCCTTAAAAAAACTTAATTTCAATTTGTTTACTATTTATTGTTATCAATAAGTAATATTGTCGTTATTATTAATTATGCATTTATAGACAACATTTTTTCAGTATACTTATATTCAGATAGTAACTATAATATTTCTAGTCGTTTTTTGCTATATCTCCTATATCCATAACTCTCTTGCTGTACTTTAAAATAATACTTTAGTCGATTTTTATGTAAATAGGTGGTCTTATCAACCTCTATACGATATCATTGTTAGATAAAAAACAGTAAAAAAAGAAACTTCATCAAACTTTTTATGTAAAGCACATTGCTCTCAGAAATTTTGATGCATCTCGTTTCGACTTTTTTGCAACAATTCTTCGGCTTCTTAGAATTAGGGCTGATGTTGATGGCTCAACTCGAAATATTTTTTGTTCATTTTTTTTTTTAACTTTTATAAAATTGTTTTTCTTTTTAGGATTTAATTTTTGTTTGGCACTTGGGTAACTCTTTACCATTCCATTTAATTTTTTGTTTTATTTTTTTTTGCTTATCACTTTTTGTGGGTGAATATTTTGGCGCCTATTAAAATGCTGGCCATGTTTATTGGCAATTTAACGCACATTTAATTTTTGGTTTTTTAAACTTTTCATTTGGCATGCAATTAAGTTTCGGGCCTGCTTATTTTTGTGTGGAGTGAGCTGAAGAGGGGAAGAAAGAAGGGGTGGTGGGCGGTGGGATGTGTGTGAGTTTTCTTGTATGCAAATCACGTGCGGTTGTTCAAGGGTTTCTGTAGCTGCTGCTACCATTTACGAGTTTGTTAAATGAGCCAAACAGAGTGCCAGAAGTTGCCGCAGTCCGCAGTTGCCTCATGAAGCAAGTTTAATAATGTGACAGGCTTAGCGCCATATGTCAGGGCCAGGAAAAAGTTTGTTTATTTTTGCAGTTCTTTTTTTTTTTTTTTTGAAAACGCGCCGCTTTTTTCATCTTGTCTGCGTATACAGCACAATATTTCAAAATGAAATTATGAGTGGGCAGCGCACTGGACACGAAAAGTGTAAACAAATTTGACCAAGCGGAAACCGAGACAGGCGTGTGTGTGTGTGTGTATGTGTGTGTTTGCCAACAAATACATATGAAATTACATGTACGCATGTCCGGTATGTCCTGGGTGCGGTCTGGTTCGGCCCCAAGGACACAAAACAGTGCTGGACAGCGTGTTCGTCACATTTGATATTATTAAATTTTTTCTAAATACCTTGGGGAAATTAAAAAAGAAATCATAAGGCAAATACAGCGATGCACAAAACTCCATATGAAAACAGGAGAGGCAGCATGAATGATGACGCCTCCTGACGCCTGTCAGCTCTGCTTTAAGCCTGGCTTTTAAAGATGCCACCTCCCACCTGCATCCCATCCCACCACCCACATTTCTGGCCATTTTTCAATTAACATTTCGGGCACTCAATTAGCAGGTGCATAAAATTCAGCTACATAAGTAATAATATGGCTGGTGTGATGATGACGTCGTCCTCAACGCCAGCAGCGCGTCAACATAGTTTGAATTTAATTAAAACCCAAAATTAGTAAAACTCCAGACTCCCCCAAAAACCCCAGTGCGAGTGAGAGAGAGAGAGAGTGAGAGCGAGAGCAACAGTTACTTGGCAGGGGATTAGAGCGATGCTGTGTTGCAAAAGTGCATGTCTGCAGAAAATCGAATCAGCAGCTTAGCTTGGGCCAGGGCCAAGTTGCTACACTTGAAAGAATTATCTAGTTAGAATGTACTGGTCGAGAGAGCTCGTCTTGTCGATGCCCTGAAGCCATATATACAGTTGCGCTCAAGATTATAGGAGCGTTGCTCTGTAAATACTTTTGATCTCTCATTGCTTTCTTAAAAATAACAACAATTAATTATTATCAATTATTAATTATTTTTTACTCGCATTGAGATTTGCTTGTTGCTGTTTTCTAAACATTTCACAGGACTATTTGCGATAATATTAATAACAGTGCTTGTTGAAATATTGCCACAAAAAATGATAGGGTGTCAAGAAAATGCATCTAGTAGCTAGTGGTAAGTTTTTGTTGCAAGTGTAGTTGTAGTCGAATGTGGGTGGTGGTGGGGATTGTGGCAGCATTTCTATGCCAAAAATATACAACAAAAGCATAAGACGAAGTGCAGCATTTGATGATGAAACGACGTGTTAATTAAGGTCATAATAATTCAACCTAAATTGAAAACTTGCCCCGGCAATGGCTGTGTCAGCTTCAGGGCGGGCAGGAAGGCAGGCAGGCAGGCAGCATCAGGAGTTACCTGCTACATGCCACCTGCCACCTGCCACCGGCTAACTGATATCAGCCAGCAGCTACAGTTGCCCCCGATTTTAGCTAAGCTGATTGCAACAAATTATTTTGCACCTTGACTGAACTTTCCTTACGCTTGGCGTTGATAAACGAATTTTGTTAGTTTGCTTTTGCTTATTTTAATGCCAAGGGTGCATTGCGCCACGCTGTGTGGCATCTTTCACAGGCAACCCTTCTCCCTCTCTCTCTCTCTCTCGCTCTGTGGGTGGGTGTGTGTCCTGACATCTGATGTGGTCCACAAGACTGTCAGTCTGTCTGTCTGTTTGTCTGCCGTCTTGGCCATTGTTACTTTTGGTTTTGCATACCGCTGGCCGTATCTTAAAAGTCGCAGCTGTTGTGTCTATACCCGGAGAGGCAGAGAATTGGAGACCAGAGGGTATTCAAGTACATCTTGATGGTCATGCATCTCTTTCTCTCTCTGTCTCTCTGTCTAATTGAATTATATTCCCTTTAAAGGTTTACACGTTAATAATACAATTAGTTAACTATTTTTGTGTTTAGTTTCAATTCTCCACTCTTTGGTTTACTCTCTCAATTCCTCAAGGATTACTGATTAGCATGTTGCAAGTGGTTGCCGGTGCAGCCACTGAATCAACATCAGGCAAAACTACTTCGAGCCCAATTCAAATCTATATTTTAGTCAAATTTATTGGTATACGATTGGGTATTGCTTCGACAATTTAATGAATATATAAAATTTATGAACACATTACAAATAAAATTATCAGCTGAGCTCAACTCATTATGCCATTTGAGGTGCGTTTCCAGCTTTAAATGTGTAATTATTCAAGGTGGGCCGAAAAAGCCCCTGTTTTGGAATATCGGGTTACTTTTGGCAAAGTTTATTTGTATGTTTTGACCTCCACATAACTTTTTGAGGATTTAATTTTAACTAAAAAATCAAGTGATATTATCATTTGATATACTCCAAACGTGTATTAGTACATTTGCAGGGTATCCGAGAGTTTTTTTGTTAGTTTTTCTTATATTTAAGTTGCCCGTCAGCAGTTGAAAGAATATTTCAAATTGTCTTTGGACTTGGTTAAAGTGGCAAATTGTGTTGACTATTAAATGTTATTAGTTAGCGAAAGCATCACTAAGTTTACGTAGTACTTAAAACTTGTTTAATATTTTAAGACATTTGCATATTAATAATTGGCTAAGTCGGTCATTGTTCAAAGAGAATTTCAGGTAAAATGTTGCCAGGCTCTGCAGATTGCTCATAATTATCTAGCACACATATATAACTGTATTCGAATGCTATTCATACACAGATAGATACACACACAGATACACACACAGATATACACACAAACACACACGTTATCCTTGCTTGCCGCAGGTTAGTTGCAACATGCGCTTCCTTTCTACATGCGAAAGCGCGCTACATGAAAAGTTTTTACTAATTTACATTCATTACACACATTTGCAATAAAACTAGCAGCATAACGCGACTCAATATATATATATATATATATATATATATATATATATATGTATATATATATGTACATATATATTACTCAAACACACACACACATGTAGTGAATGAGTGAGTGCCACATACAACTACATTGACATTTTACATGCTTCATTAGCGTGTAAGCGCTAATAATGAAATTTCCTTATGGCTGCATTGCAACTTCATATCTGTGTGTGTGTGTGTGTGTGTGTGTGTGTGTGTGTGTGTGTGTGTGCGTGTGTGCGACTGGGATTTGAGCTTGGCTCTGCAGTTCAGGGGGTGGGTTAAGGCTGCATATTGATGCAAAATTATGTGCCCGCTGCAAAACTTGAGACGTTGTTCCACGTAGCTAACCACAATTTATGTTGCTTGTGGCATCTAAATACAACTGCAACACCAATGTGCATATAAAATTTGAGCGGCAATGTCTGACTTAAAGATGCT